TAAGGGTTGCAGACACACACACACACACACACACACACACACACAATTTCATATAGGGGTATGAGTTTGTATTTGTATCCATGAATATATATGACAGCCGCTTTGGTGGTTAAGGCACCAGATTAGAAAGCGGGAGATTGGGAGTTGCAGTTCTACCTTAGGCGTGAAAGCCAGCTGAGTGCGTTTGGGCCAATCCCCAGGAGATTGGGAGTCATAGTCCTGTCTCAGTGTGAAAGCCGGCTGAGTGACTTTGGCCCAGTCCCCAGGAGTCAGTGAATTGTCTCACCTTAGGCACAAACACTGGCTGAGTATCTTTGGGCCAATCACCAGGAGGTGGTGAGTTCTAGTCCTGTGTTAGCATGAAAACTGGCTGGGTGATTTGGGGTCAATCACCAGGAGACTGTGAGTTTTAGTTTGCCTCAGGCATAAACGCTGGGTGACTTCGGGCCAGTCACCAGGAGACGGTGAGTTCTAGTCCCGCCTGAGGCACGAAAGCCAGCTGGGTGACTTTGGGCCAATCACCAGGAGACGTTGAGTTCTAGTCCCGCCTGAGGCACGAAAGCCAGCTGGGTGACTTTGGGCCAATCACCAGGGGATGGTGAGTTCTAGTCCCACCTGAGGCACGAAAGCCAGCTGGGTGACTTTGGGCCAGTCACCAGGAGATGGTGAGTTCTAGTCCCGCCTGAGGCATGAAAGCCAGCTGGGTGGGCCAATCACCAAGAGATGGTGAGTTCTAGTCTCGCCTTAGCTAAGAAAGCCAGCTAGGTGACTTTGGGCCAATCACTAGGAGACGGTGAGTTCTAGTCCCACCTCAAGCACGAAAGTCAGCTGGGTGACTTTGAGCCAATCGCCAGGAGACTGAGTTCTAGTCCCGCCTGAGGTACGAAAGTCAGCTGGATGACTTTAAGCCAATCACTAGGCAACAGTGAGTTCTAGTCCCACCTCAAGCACGAAAGTCAGCTGGGTGACTTTTGGTTATGGGGGAAATAAGAGAAAGCGGTGTTGGAGATGTTTACCACTTGAGTTATTTGTCAAAATCTTAAAAGCGGGATACAAATAAATAAAACGTAGGTTTCTTTGTGCACAAGGTATACCAAAACTTAGGTCCCATAGATCAATCACAGTACGCTTTAATTTTTTTTTCTCCTCGGCGAAAAGATTATTGTGCTTCGTTCAGCGTTCAAAGGTCATAAATTGGACAACGTGTTAAGGAAGCGTTTAATAGGAAATGGCAACCATTCAGATACTTAATATAAGTATATACTCAACTAAACTGTGGGGCCTCAGTTCTGGTACATTCTGTATCTATGAGTGGGTCTGTACTTGTGTGTGTGCATGCACGCGCGTGCGCACACACACCCTATGTCCAAATCTCGAGAAGCTAGATTGTCCATTGCAGGGTTAGCTGAATCATATCTTTGCTCTCTTGAAATGGGAAAATGGCCTGGCAGGGTGGTGTTAAACGACATTCTGCCTGCTGGGAACACCAACAGACCGATTGCCTTGTGATTGTCATGTGTGTGCGGTTAATTCCAGGAAAGTTAGAAGCACACACTGCTCTGGGAAGGCGTCAGAAATTCTCCTTTGCGTTAGCTAAAAGTGACTAGGAAATTCGGGCCTTGAAACGGAGGAAAAAGCATCCCGTTGTTGAATTGGATGTTAGCTAGGACTGCTACTGTTGTAGTCAGGATAGTTTGCTTTGCAAACACACACACACACACACACCTTGCCAAGGCTGTTCCTGAGTAGCGGCAGACAGGAAAATGTCTCCCTTCTACAATGGTCTCAAAGATTCTTTTTCAAAAAAGGCCACTTGACTGCTTTTTCCTAAGGGACAAGAAGGCATTTTGCTGCTCACCCAAGAAGCTCCATCAATGAAGCTTCTGGGATGAGAAGCTAAAAGCCATCTTATACAAGAACAGATTTAATAGAGCTGGAAGGGGCCTTGGAGGTCTTCTAGTCCAACCCCCTGCTCAGGCAGGAAACCCTATACCATTTCAGACAAATGGCTGTCCAGTCTCTTCTTCAAAACCTCCAGTGTGGGAGCACCCATAACTTCTGGTGGCAAGTCGTTCCACTGGTTAATTGTTCTCACTGTCTGGAAGTTTCTCCTTAATTCCAGGTTGCTTCTCTCCTTGATTAGTTTCCATCTGTTGTTTCTTGTCCTGCCTTCAGGTGCTTTGGAGAATAGCTGGACTCCCTCTTCTTTGTGGCTATTGGAACGCTGCTATCATGTCCCCCCTTGTCCTTCTCTACATTAAACTAGACGTACCCAATTCCAGCAGCCGTTCCTTGTATGTTTTAGCCTCCAGTCCCCTAATCATCTTTGTTGCTCTTCTCTGCACCCTTTCTAGAATCTCAGCATCTTTTTTACATCGTGGTGACCAAAACTGGATGCAGTATTCCAAGTGTGGCCTTACCAAGGCCTTGTAAAGTGGTATTAACACTTCACCTGACTTTGATTCTATCCTTCTGTTAATGCAGCCTAGCATTGTGTTGGCCTTCTTGACAGTTTCTTCCTGAAAAAAACAAAAACAAACAGTCCAACTGCCTTTTTTGAAAAAGCATCTTTGAGACAACCATGACCTGGATAATGGAGAATTTCCGTAGACATTTTCCTTTCCACATTATTTAATAATTCTGTTGGTTAATTGGTTGGTTAATTCCCTTTCTCCTCTCCCCACTCTCCTCTCCCCCCCTCTCCTCTCTGTCTCTCCTCTCTCCCGTCTCCTCTGCCCTCTCTCCTCTCTCTCCCCTCTCCCCCCTCCTCTCTCTCTCTCCTCTCTGTCTCCTCTCTCCTGTCTCTCTCCTCTCTTCTGTTTTTGCCCTCTCTCTCTCTCTCTCTCTCTCTCTCTCTCTCTTACCTTCCTCTCTCTCATCTCCTCTCTCCTCTGCTCCCTCTCTCACCCCCTCTCCTCTCTCTCTCCTCTCCTCTCTCCCGTCTCTCCTCTCTCTCCTCTCTGTCTCATCTCTCTCCTCTCCTGTCTCTCTCCTCTGCCCTCTCTCCTGTTTCTCCCACTCCCCCTCCTCTCTCTCTCTCCTCTCTGTCTCCTCTCTCCTGTCTCTCCTCTCTTCTGTCTTTCCCCTCTCCTTTGCCCTCTGTCTCTCTCACCTTCCTCTCTCCCCTCTCTCATCTCCTCTCTCCTCTGCTCCCTCTCTCTCACCCCCTCTCCTCTCTCTCTCCTCTCCTGTCTCTCCTCTCCTCTCTCCCGTTTCTCTCTCTCCTCTCTGTCTCATCTCTCTCCTCTCCTGTCTCTCCCCTCTCTCCTCTGCCTCCTCTCCTCTGTCCTCCCTCTCCCCCCTCCTCTCTCTCTCCTGTCTCTCCTCTCCTCTCTCCCGTCTCTCCTCTCTCTCTCTCTCTCTCTCTCCTCTCTGTCTCATCTCTCTCCTCCCCTGTCTCTCCTCTGTCTCCTCTCCTCTCTCCTCCCTCTCCCCCCTCCTCTCTCCTCTGTCTCCTCTCTCCTGTCTCTCCTCTCTCCTTTGCCCTCTCTCTCTCTCACCTTCCTCTCTCCCCCCTCTCTCTCCTGTCTCTCATCTCCTCTCTCCTCTGCTCCCTCTCTCCCCCTCTCCTCTCCTCTCCTGTCTCTCTCCTCTCTCCCGTCTCTCCTCTCCTGTCTCTCCTCTCTCTCTCTCCTCTGTCTCATCTCTCTCCTCTCCTGTCTCTCCCCTCTCTCCTCTGCCCCCTCTCCTCTCTCCCATCTCTCTCTCTCTAGCTGGCCCAGTCATCATGTCTTTGGAAGAAAAGATGGAAGCCGACGCCAGATCTATATACGTAGGAAATGTGAGTTCCTTCCCCCCCCCTTACACCCTAGCTTTCTTCAAGCGAGGACGAAGCCTTGCCTCCTGAACCGGACCCGTCTTCCATTTCAGGTAGATTACGGGGCCACTGCGGAAGAATTGGAAGCCCACTTCCACGGTTGCGGTTCCGTCAACCGCGTGACGATCCTGTGCGACAAATACACGGGTCATCCGAAGGGGTGAGTGGTCTTTTCCAAGGGGGGGACATTACTCTTGGCTTGAGAGTCGCCTTAAAGCTCCAGAGTTGGTCCGGTAGAATAGAGGTAGGCCTCGGTCCTTTTGTTGGGTGACCGTTTGAAGTTAACAACGACACCGAAAGAACCGACTTAACGACCGTTTTTCGTATTTATGACCATTGTGGCATCCTTGTGATCGTGCGATCAAAATTTGGAGGCTTGGCAACCGTATTTACGACGGTTGCCATATCCCGGGGTCACGCGATCTCCTTTTGCGACCTTCTGACAAACAGTCGATTTGGGGGGGGCGGAGCCAGATTCCCCTCACAACCGTGGGACTAACTTATAACCCCTGCAGCGATTTGCTTACCGACGGTGGGCCAGAAAGGTCACAAAATGGGGTCAAAGCCCCCTTAATTAAACGGTCTTGCTTAGCGGCAGAAAAGTTGGGCTCCGTTGTCGTACATCAAGGACGGCCTGTATTGTCCCGCGACCTCTCTTGATCGATTCACGTACTGATAAGTCCTCAACTTACAATGGCTCACTTAAAGTTATGACAATGCTGGGGGGAAAAGGGACTTGCGACCGTTTTTTCACAAATTCACAACGGTTACGGCAACCCCGGGCAGGAAGCAAGGTGGTAAAAACGGGGCAAAACCCGCTTAGAGCAGCAGAAATTTGAGGCTCGGTTGTGGTCGTAAGTTGAGGAGCCTGAATTGTCTAATTGTCCGTCCTCCTTCCACCTATCTTCTCAAGGTTCGCCTATATTGAATTTTCCGACAAGGAGTCGGTGCGGACTTCGTTAGCATTAGACGAATCCCTCTTCAGGGGGAGACAGATCAAGGTGGGTACGCCCTTTTCACAACACACAGACACCACACACACACACCGCTCTGTGCCCGACTCCCAAATAGCTTTTGCGGCCAGCCTTCGGACTGAACCATCTAAGCCAGGGCTCTTTTATGACACGTGGACTTCAGCTCCCAGAATTCCTGAGCCAGCATGAAACTTTGGCCCTTTCATGACTCGTGGACTTCAACTCCCAGAATTCCCGAGCCAGCATGAGGGAAACTTTGGCCCCATGACTCGTGGACTTCAACTCCCAGAATTCTCGTGGACTTCAACTCCCAGAATTCCCGAGCCAGCATGAGGGAAACTTTGGCCCCTTCATGACTCGTGGACTTCAACTCCCAGAATTCCCGAGCCAGCATGAGGGAAACTTTGGCCCCTTCATGACTCGTGGACTTCAACTCCCAGAATTCTCGAGCCAGCACGAGGGAAACTTTGGCCCCTTCATGACTCGTGGACTTCAACTCCCAGAATTCCCAAGCCAGCATGAGGGAAACCTTGGCCCCTTCATGACTGGTGGATTTCAACTCCCAGAATTCCCGAGCCAGCATGAGGGAAACTTTGGCCCCCTCATGACTCATGGACTTCAACTCCCAGAATTCCTGAGCCAGCATGAGGGAAACTTTGGCCCCTTCATGACTCGTGGACTTCAACTCCCAGAATTCTCGAGCCAGCACGAGGGAAACTTTGGCCCCTTCATGACTCATGGACTTCAACTCCCCGAATTCCTGAGCCAGCATGAGGGAAACTTTGGCCCCTTCATGACTGGTGGATTTCAACTCCCAGAATTCCCGAGCCAGCATGAGGGAAACTTTGGCCCCCTCATGACTCATGGACTTCAACTCCCAGAATTCCTGAGCCAGCATGGCTCAGCTTGGAAGCCTCTCCCTTCCCCTCAGCATGGCTGGCTCAGGAATTCTGGGAATTGAAGTCCACGAGTCATAAAAGAGTTAAGGTTGCCTACCCCTGCCCTGACAACATCTAATTTATACGAACATCACGCACTGCTCACTCCTGTACTGGTGGTTATATCACACTGTTTTCAGGGGCGTGTAATCGCCATTTGTAGCCTTTCTTGCTTGCCATCTTCTGACAGGCAAAGTCCAGATTTGCTTAACAACTGCAGGAATCACTCAGCAACTTTAGTGATTTGCTTAACCAGGGCAAAAGAAGCTCTTAAAATGGGGCACAGCCTCTTTAAAAGCTGCCTTGCTTAGCAACATAAATTTTGGGCTTAGTTGTGGGTCATAAGCAGAGGACTTCCCTGTAACTTAGGGTTATCCCTCAGCTGATTGGCATGAGTTAATACGTGTAATTAATACAACGGCAAAGTGGACCTAAATGAAATTTAAATGTAAAAAAGATGTTGAGACTCTAGAACAGGGGTAGGCAACCTTGGCTCTTTTATGACTCGTGGACTTCAACTCCCAGAATTCCCGAGCCAGCATGGCTCAGCTTGGAAACCTCTCCCTTTCCCCTCAGCGTGGCTGGCTCAGGAATTCTGGGAATTGAAGTCCACGAGCCATAAAAGAGCCAAGGTGGCCTACCCCTGGTCTAAGCACTGAGAAGATGAGGTTTCTGCTTCGGAGCCCTTCCCCTTGGGACCGTTCCAGTGTGGAATTCCCCCCTGTGCTTTCTCCGCTTGGCGGTTTTCTTGCAGACGTTTCGTGACCCGGCTGGGTAGCCTCATCAGTGCTAGAAGGCCGTGGTGGGGCTTGTGGAGAGGAGGAGAAAGAGGAAGAATAGTGATGTGTTCAGTGCACTGATGATGGCAACAGGTTTGGTAATGAAACATCAAGAAAATCCCCAAGCTCTTGAGAGCAGCAAGGATTCTTTCCCTTCCCCTCCACTCCACAAATCCCACTCCTTTTTGGAACTGATGATATCCCCTAGTTGGGTCTTGAAACGTCTGCAAGAAAGCCACCGAGCTCAGAGAGCATCCAGGGCCCCACAGTGCAACTGTTCTCCCCTATACGATGAATTCCCTCTGTTACGAAGAGGTGTCTGCATTCTCTAGGGTCCAAGCAGAAATTGTTACCCCCTGAGCCTGACCTGCAAGATTAGGTGTACATCCGAACTGGACTGTGTTGTTTCTCTGGGCCATATATGTGTGGATGTATGCATTATTATAATTGTCATGTTTATAGGAGGAGGTTACCCTTTGAGAGCTGTGTGCAACAAAATCTCATTTTAATGTAAGCTGAGTAATATACATTTAAAGCAGCGGTTCTCAACCTGTGGGTCACGACCCCATTTGGGGTCGAACGACCATTTCACGGGGGTCGCCAAACAACACGATCTGCCATTTTTTTCTGGGGCGGCGCATGGGGGTGGGGGGCCGCGCATGGGGCCGCCGCCGCACATGCACGCCGCGCAAGGGCCGGCGCTGCACATGCACGCCGCCTGCTTAATACCAGGGTCGCCGTATAAAGAGGTTGAGAACCACTGATTTAAAGTGACATGTTATTCTTTATTTTCTGTTCTATGTTATTCTATTCTGTTCTAATCTCTTCTGTTCTATGTTATTCTGTTCTGTTCTATGGTCTATTCTGTTCTTTTCTGTGCTAATCTGTTCTGTGTTATTCTATTATGTTTTTTTTCTGTGCTAATCTATTCTATGTTATTCTATTCTGTTCTATGTTATTCTATTCTGCTCTTTTCTGTTGTAATCTATTTTGTTCTACTCTGTTCTTTTCTGTTATTCTATTCTATTTTTGTTCTGTTCTTTTCTGGTCTAATCTGTTCTGTTCTATGTTATTCTATTCTGTTCTAATCCTTTTCTATGTTATTCTATTCTTTTCTGTTCTGTTCCAATCTGTTCTGTTCTATTCTATGTTATTCTATTTTGTTCTAATCTTGTTCTGTTCTATGTTGTTCTGTTCTTTTCTGTTCCAATGTTCTTTCTATTCTATGTTATTCTGTTCTGTTCTAATCTTGTTCTGTTCTGTTATTCTATTCTGTTCTTTTCTGTTCTTTGTTTTTCTATTCTGTTCTAATCCTTTTCTATGTTATTCTATTCTGTTTTTTTCTGTTCTGTTCCAATCTGTTCTGTTCTATTCTATGTTATTCTATTTTGTTCTGTTCTATGTTATTCTGTTCTTTTCTGTTCCAATGTTCTTTCTATTCTATGTTATTCTATTCTGTTCTTTTCTGTTCTATGTTATTCTATTCTGTTCTAATCCTTTTCTATGTTATTCTATTCTGTTCTGTTCTTTTCTGTTCTGTTCCAATCTGTTCTGTTCTATGTTATTCTATTCTTTTCTAATCTAATCCTGTTGTTCTGTTCTATGTTATTCTGTTCTTTTCTGTTCCAATCTGTTCTGTTCTATTCTATGTTATTCTATTCTGTACTATTCTTTGTTATTCTATTCTGTTATTCTGTTCTGTTCTAATTAATCTAATCTAATCTTACTTTTAGGTGATTCCCAAACGGACCAACCGCCCAGGCATCAGCACCACAGACCGAGGCTTTCCCCGGACCCGGTACCGAGGGCGAGGATCCGGCTACAGCAGTTCCAGGGCCCGTTTCTACAGTGGCTTCAGCAGCCGTCCGCCCCGAGGGCGTGCATACAGGTCTGACCCAAAGGGGAAGGTGGGGGAAGTGGGGAACCGATCCACCCTAGGGCAGACTCACGCTCGCAGACGGCCAGGGAACGGAGCTGCTGGATTAGAGTAGCAATCCCGGGCTTAAAACCTTTTGGCGTCTCTTTTTATTGATCACCTGAAACAGACCAAGGCAAGGGATCCCGCAGGCCAGAATACAGCCGGTCCTTGGCTTATAACGGTTCACTTAGGGACCATTCAAAATGACATCACTGGAAGAAAAAAAGGACTCTCCGTCATTTTTCACACTTAACGACCGTCGCAGCGTGCCCACGGTCCACGTGATCCAAATTTGGATGCTCAGCAACCGACTCGTATTTATGACGGTTGCGGTGTCCCGGATGGCGTCATGTGATCCCCTTTTGCGACTTCCTGACAAAGTCAGTTGGGGGGGAAGAAAAAGAGGGAAGAAGGAAGGAAGGAAAGAGAAAGAAGGAAGGAAAGAAAGGAAAGGGAGGAAAGAGAAAAAGAAAAAGGGAAGGGAGGAAAGAAAAAAGGGAGGGTGGAAGGAAAGAGAAGAAAGAAAGGAAAAAAATGAAAGAAGGGAAGGAAGGAAAGAAAGGGAAGGAAGAAGGGAAAGAAAAAAAGAGGGTGGAAGGAAAGAAGAAAGAAAGAAAAAGGGAAGGAAAGAAAAGGAAGGAAGGAGGGAAAGAAAAAAGGGAGGGTGGAAGGAAAGAAGAAAGAAAGAAAATGAAAAAGAAAAAGGGAAGGAGGGAAAGGAAAAAGGGTGGAAGAGAAGGAAGAAAGAAAAAATGAAAGAAGGGAAGGAGGGAAAGAAAAAAAGGGAGGATGGAAGGAAAGAAGAAAGAAAAAGGGAAGGAAAGAAAGAAAAAGGGAAGGAAGGAGGGAAAGAAAAAAGGGAGGGTGGAAGGAAAGAGAAGAAAAAGAAAAGGGGAAGGAAAAAAGGAAAGAAAAAAAGGGAAGGAAGGAGGGAAAGAAAAAAGGGAGGGTGGAAGGAAAGAGAAGAAAGAAAGAAAAGGGGAAGGAAAAAAGGAAAGAGGGAAGGAAGGAAAGAAAGAAAGAAAAAATATGGCAAAGTCATAGGGACAGAGGTCGCAAAAGGTCACAGTCGCCCCGTTTGGAAATGCCGATGTAGTTTTTCACGTTTGAGGATTTCGGCCCTGTGTCTTCTAGGTTTTTAAAAGCTTTTTTTTTTTTTTAAATACCTCTTTCTTTAACCTGCTTCCTTCTTCTCTTCACAGGGGCCGGGCCAGAGCGACCTCATGGTATTCCCCTTACTAAAAACAAAACAAAAAAACAAAACAAAACAAAAAAAAGGTTGTTTTAGGAAGGAGGAAAAAAAAAGGAAAAAAAATGAAGATTTGTTACCATGACGGAAAAAAAATTATATATATATACATATATATATACATACTGTTGGCGGGAGGAGGTTGCTTCTTGATGCTGTGCAGAGAAAGAGGGTTGACCTATACGGGAGGGAGGGGAGAAAACAAACTTGTGGGTCGGCCGAGCTTGTTGTTAAAACTGCCTGGTAGTATTGTCGAGAGTCTCTCCCTTCTCCGCCCTTCCTTCTCCTTTTTGCAGATTTTTTGGGGGGGGGGGGATTCTTCCTCTGTGTTTTTACAAGGGGGCAGGCAGTGCCTGGGAGGCTTTGGGAGGTTGTCCCCTCCGGATTCTGTGACTCTTTTGTTTTTCTTCTCCACCCTTGCTCTCCATTGCGTGTGTTCGTGTGTCTACATTTGTTTCCCTGATTGGTTTCTGCTGTCTTTTTGTTGCTTTGCTTTGCCCCTGCCCTGCCCTTCCTCCAACCTAACCAGATTAGCCCGGAAAAAGCTGGCGTTCACGGCTTCGTAGCCAGAAAGAAGCTGGCTTAGCTGGAAAAAAAGTGGCATTCACGGTTTCGTAGCTAGAAAGAAGCTGGCATTCATAGCTGGAAAGAAGCCGGCATTGACGGCTTCGTAGCCGAAAAGAAGCTGGCGTCCACGGCTTCATAGCTGGAAAGAAGCTGGCATTCATAGCTGGAAAGAAGCTGGCATTTACGGCTTCGTAGCCAGAAAAGCTGGCGTCCACGGCTTCATAGCCGGAAAGAAGCTGGTATTCCTGGCTTCGTAGCCAGAAAGAAGCTAGCATTCCCGGCTTCCTCGCTACCTTTTGCCCAAACATCCCTCGCCCAATCTGTTTCTGCCCAGGACATCCTCAAAAATGCCACATCCCATTCTGAGATTCTTCCCTGTTTCTGCCCTCTTCCCCGTCACCCTTTTGGTCCTTTTCCCTGGATTTTGCCCTGAACTCAAAAGCATTGTTCTAACACCCCCCCCCCAAAGAAACCGGGGTGATTCCCGTTTAAAAATGGCTTCCTTCCTTCCTTCCTTCCTTCCTTCCTTCCTTCCTTCCTTCCTTCCTTCCTTCCTTCCTTCCTTCCTTCCTTCCCAGTGCCCACCATTTCAGGTTGTAGGTGTCCTGTACCCCTCAATTCTTCCTCCTTTCTCTCTTTCTCTCTCTTTCTCTCAAAGGGGGTTTGTTTTATATGCCTTGTTTGAGTGTCTTTATCTTTACAGGTTCCTTTATTTTTTAGCCTGAAGAAATGACACCGAAACCTGAAGCTGTAGAGAAACCAGGGGTGGGGCAAAAAAAAAAATTAAAAAAAAATTATTAAAAAAAATCTCCCCGGAGGGGTTTGTTGAGTATTGGGATGACTTTAAAAAAAAGAAAGAAAAAGAAAACGGGAGGGGAAAAAAAAGAGGGAAAAAAAACCATTTCAGGTTGGAGGGAGGGAAACAGAGGAAGAAGCCAAATTGTTATAAGGGTGGAAAAAAAAATAAAAAAATAAAGATGTTTTTGGAAGAAACGAGCGTGGGCATTGGTGCCTTTTGTTCGGCTGCTGCCGAAAAGCCGGCACGATTTAAAACGACGAGTTTACAGGCTTGTGGCTTCGTTTAGTGACCGTTTCAAAATTACAAACGGCCCTAAGGAAAGCGACTTGGCGACTGTTTCACGCTTAGCGTCGGCTGCGGCATTCCCCCCCTCCCCATCACCACGTGATCAAAATTGGCAACCGGCTCATGACGGTCGCAACGTCCCCGGGATCGTGTCGATCCCTTTTGGGGCGAACTTTTGATGAGCAAAATTAATGGGGGGAATCCAGATTCCCTTAACTGCGGCGATTCGGTTAACGATGACAAGTTGAAAGGCCATAAAATGGGGCAAAAATTTGCCAGAGAAATTTGGGGCTTGCTCGCTTGGCCGTAAGTCAGGGACTACCTGTCGAATGGCATGCCTGGTTGGTGATGGCTATTACTCCAGGTGGCTGAACGGGCCTACACAGGCCGCCCTTGAACTTAACAACCACTTGTTTAGTGACGGCTCCAAGTCAAGAATGACAGCTGAAAAAAAGGTGATTTACAATCCCTCCTCACACTTATAAAGCAGCAGCCTTTATGCTGCTTTACAACAGATGCATGCATTACAACTGCAGTCATTTCACCTAACAGCTGTGGCAAGGAAGGTTGTAAAATGGGGTTGTTAAACTCGCGTTTAGCAAGAGAAAGTTCTAAGTTTGAGGACTACCTACATTCATGTGAGGTTTAAGGGACGGAGCACATTCTGGTCCCAGTTTTGTCTGGGTGATGCTTCTGTGTCATGGGTGTGCGCATGTGGGTATACGCACAATGGTATTTTTGAGAGCTGAACGCAACGAAATTTCATTTCAAGGTATGCTGATTAGTGTACATTTAAAATGACAAAAGGTTTTTATTCTATTCCTATTCCATTCCATTGTTCTGTTTTGTTCTATTATATTTCTTATTTTAGTCTATTCCAATCCCATCCCATTCCTTTCTCCTATCCTAGTCTATTCTAATGTTTATTCTAGTCTATTCCCATCCCATTCCTTTCTCCTATCCTAGTCTATTAGTCTATTCTAATGTTCTTATTCTAGTCTAATCTAATCTATTCCAATCCCATCTCATTCCTTTCTATCTCCTGTCCTATTCTTAGTCTATTCTAATATTTATTCTTATTCTAGTCTAGTCTATTCCAATCCCATCCCATTCGCTTCTATCTCCTATTCTTAGTCTATTCTAATATTCTAGTCTATTCTCTACGCTCCATTCCAATCTCATCCCATTCCTTTCTGTCTCCTACTTTTGTTCTATTCTTACTTATTCTAGTCTATTCTATTTATTGTAGTCTAGTCCAGTGGTGGCGAACCTATGGCACGGGTGCCAAAGGCAGCACTCAGCCCTTTCTGTGGGCACACACGCCATCGCCCGAGTACTAGGCCTTCAGCTGGGTTTTATAAAACCTTTTCGCTTTAGGCCTCCGCCGCTGTGTGCAAAAAAAAAAGGTTCAATCAATCAATTTCAACTTTTCAGGAAAAAAAAGATCTTGCAAAATTGGAATTGATTGAATTTTTTAGTCCCATCCAGTCTGCCGTTACCACCACAGCCATGCCCACCCAATGGGCCACACCCACCTGGCACCCGACGATGCGTAAGTGGGTTTTGGGTGGCAGTTTGGGCCCTTGGTCTCTAAAAGGTTCGCTATCACTGGTCTAGTTTATTCCTCTCTACACTCCATTCTCATTCCTGTCTCCTGTTCTATTATTCCATTCTATTATTATTGCCTTCCATTTCTATTCTAATTATTATTTTCTATTCTATTGTGAATTGAAGTCCACACCTCTTAAAAGTTAATCAGGTTGAAAAGCAGCGTTGCAGTCTGTCTATCCATCACGTTCTACGGACTGGCAGCGCTGTAGCGTAAACCTTCAACTGCAAGATCAAAGTTGGTTTCTTACACTTAACGTGTTTCCTGCCTTGCAGCCAGAAAGTCGGGTGTTTGCATTTACCCCCCCAACCTGTTTGCCAGGATGAAAAAGGAACAAAACAGGCGGCTTGTAGCTAGATGAGCTGAGGTGGCGCAGCATTTAAGAGTGCAGTACTGCAGGCCACTTTAGCTGACTGTGTTCAGCAGGTCAGGGGTTCAAATCTCACCGGATCAAAGTTGACTCAGCCTTCCATCCTTCCGGGGTAGGTAAAATGAGGACCCAGATTGTTGGGGGCAGTGTAAATATATATATACATTGCTTACTGGTGTACACCGTTTAGAGAGTGCTTGCACTTAAAGTGGTATATAAGTCTCATAAATAAATAAATGATTTTCCCATGAGAAATTCTCCCTGTTCCAACAAATCTTGTCGCATTCCAAAATCTTGTTTTTCTTTCTCCACTTTGTCCCTGTCCCGTTGCAAAAAAAAAAAAGGGGGGGGGCATGAATGGAAGCAAAGCCAGATTAAAAATGAATATTTCTAGGGCGCAACGGAAGATGGGCGAGAACCGGTTTGGTGCCACGGCTCAAGGCATCGGCCTACAGACCTGGGAGTTAATGCTCCGGTTTGGCCACAAACCAGCTGGAGTGCTTCTAAACCAGTTTACTGGCTTAAGGGGAAGATTTTAAATTCAGCTAATCCTTAAAGTGGACTGTTCCATCAGTTCCGTAATTGGGGGGGGAGCATGGTTTATCTTAGCTTAATTTATCCTTTAGCTTAAAAATTAGCCTAATGACTTGTGGGGTGCAGGATAGCATCGTGGTCCTTTTGAATATCCCCATGGGCCAATTCCGGGAGGCGCAGTTAACACAGGTAATTCTCAATTTAGCAAGTCAAGACAACACTGGGGGGGGGGAACCAACTTAACAGCTGATCCGATGGTTGCAGTACCTGCGGTCATACGATTAAAACTCGGGGCGCTTGGCAACTGGTTTATTGATTTAATGATGATTTCAGCATCTCCAGGATCCTGAGATGGCCTTTTGTGACTGTCTCAAGCCAGCTTCCGTTGTGCGTTGGCGGGGAAAGCCACGTGCATTTAAAAGACCGAATGGTTGACTTGACAAAGGCGTGGATTTGCTGAATAACCAGGGGAAAAAAGTGGTAAAATCAGGTGTGACACACAACAGAAGTCCCACTCTCAACCATGCTCATAAGTTGAGGAACACTTGTATCATTTCGGGGAAGAAAATCAAGAAGTCAAAAGTGGTATGATCTTGGCAAAGGGACCTCTAAACCCCCTCGGATCCTATGTTTCGAACAGCCAATTATCCCAAAGATGCTTTTTTTTTTCAGGAGACACCTGAACTTGTTTTTCATTGAAGATGTTTCGCTTCTCGTCCCAGAAGCTTCTTCAGCTCTGACTGGAGGGTGGGGAATGGAAAGATTTATACTCCTTGCAGACAGCTGGTCCTTTGCCTTCTTTTAGAGCAGTGGTTCTCAACCTTTTTAATGCCACGACCCCCAACCGGTCGTAAGTCGAAGACTACTTAACCGGTCGTAAGTCGAGAACTATTCAACTGGTGCAGCACCGTTTGCAGAATGGGACTTTTGGCGGGCTCAGCAGGGCAGAGACAGCCTGGACAATTCCTATTGGCTTTGGAAAGCCAATAGAATTAGAGTCTATTCAAGAGAGTCTATTCTATTGGCTTTCAAAAGCCAATAGAATAAAAGGGAGGAGCACAGCTAAGGAAAAGGGGGAAAAAATGGCAGACTGCGTTGTTTGGCGACCCCCGTGAAATGGTCGTTCGACCCCAAATGGGGTCCCGACCCACAGGTTGAGAACCACTGCTTTAGAGCAGGGGTGTCAAACTCAAATTTCATTGAGGGCTGCATCAGCATTGCAGTTGCCCTTGGGCTGGGTGGGTGTGGCCAGTGTGGGTGCAGCCTACTGGGTGGGCGTGAATGGAGTGGGTGTGGCCTACTGGATGGGCATGGCCAGCTCTACATGGTTCGTGTCAAGGGGGCCTGTGGGGGCCTGGGCAGGAGTGGGACAGATCTGAGGGTCTCTGGCAGAAGGGGGTGGGACCAGGGCAAGTGCCAAGGCATGTGGTCCACTGGAGCAGGGCTTTTCAACCAGTGGTACGGGTACCACCTGTGGTACATTGGCACCTGGCAGGTGGTACGCAACCATCCTAGAAAAGTGGTAGCGGGGGAGGGGAATGAGCTGAACCGGGGGCAGCACCGCACAAGCCTGAGCGAGAGACGGCTGGAGCTGCAGGGCTGTCAGGGCTCAGTGGAAGCGCCAGGATCAGTGCCAGGCTCCAGCTGGAGCTCGGCGCTGATCCTGGTGCTTCTGCTAAGCCCCGAAGTACCAATCAGCTGGAAAGTGGCACTGATCCTGGTGCTTCTGCTGAGCCCAGAAGAAGCGCCGATCAGCTGGAATGTTGCAGCCTCTCCAGGGTCTTGTGATTTACCTTCAGATGCTTGGCAACTGATTCCTATTTATGACGGTCCCAGTGTCCCAGGGTCATGGGAAGGGACCAAAACCTGCTGCAACCACCCAGCAGACGGGGGGAGGAATAAAAACCAAACACCCCCCCACCCCCGCTGCCAATCCTCAACAGAAAGGCTCACAACAATGAAAACCTCGGACAGAAAACAGAATGCAGCCGGGCAGGCAGGCAGGTGTCTTGCTCCATTGTGGCTTGGGGGGCACTTTTTTTCCAGTGCCGTTGTAACTTCAGTCACTAAGCGAACTGTTGTAAGTCAAGGACTACCTGTACTTTATCAATTTTTTTCTTTTTTTCTGGTCATTAAGTTTTTGACACCTTGCTAGGCGACTGGTGGTACTCGGATGTTGCCATATCCTAAAAGTGCTACAGTGGGTGAAAAGGTTGAAAAGCCCTGCACTGGAGGAGCCTCACTGTTCCTCTCAGGCCATGGGTGTGTGTGTGCAGAGGTCCAAATGCCCAGCCTGGCCCTCGAGCACCCACGGCACCAAGCCCAGCCCCGCTTCCCCAAGGGGACGCCCAGCTGCATTTACCTCCTCCTCAAGGCTGCGGCTGCTGTGCTTGCTCTCCTTAGCCAGGTGGCTCATGATGGGTACGAGGGCAAAGTCAGAGGGAGGCCTATTCCCTCCCAATGGAAGGAGACCCGGCTTTGTATCCAAAGCTTCCTTAGCAATAGGATGGGAAACCCCAGGATAGGCCAGGAGGAGGGGGCAAGGGGATGGTGAAAGGGCAGCAGGGCAGGACTAAGGCAGGACTTGCCTCAAACCCTCCCTCTGCTTCTTTCCTTCCTAAGTACAGAGTGGTGGGAAAATATTTGAGATGAGGGAGGTAGAAAAACAGGCAAGAAACGCAGCCAGGGCCAAGGCAGCGGGGGCCGTTCCCTCACTGTTTGCAAGATGGCTTCGCGGGCCACATGAAACCAGTTCGCAGGCCGCATCCGGCCCGAGGCCTTGCGTTTGACATGTCTGTTTTAGAGAGTCGTTGAGGCCACTTGGAGTTTTATCTCAAGGTCTCCCTGAGCGGTGCAAATGGGCGTGGAGACTTCTTGGAACTGCTGAAAGGACTGTCGTGTCCTTCCCTCAGTTGAGTGAGGGCTGTTCAGTTTTGATATTGTACGTTGGGGAAACAAAACCACCACTTCACAATGCATGGCACAACATAGGAGAACGAACCCATCAGGACAAAAACTCAGCTGTCCACCTGCCTTTGAAAGACGAAGGCCGCTCTTTCAAAGACAGCAAAGCCCCCATTTTGGATAGAGAGGACCTCTGACTTGAAAGAGGCGTCCAAGAGGCCATCTAGGTCAAAACTGAATAGCTCTCTCTCAAGGGGGGGGGAATACGACAACACCATCTATCTCCAGTCGACCACACGGTCCTTTCAGCAGTTCCAAGAAGGCTCCACACCCATTTGCGCTGCTCAGATGACCCTGAGGACACCGATAAACCTCCAAGCGGTCTCAACAACCCTCTGAAAAAAATACAAATGACCAGATGGCAAAGTCAGAGCCGAAGAAGCTTCTTGGATGAGAAGTGAAACGACTTCAAGGAAAAACAAGGAAGTCCATTTGGTACTACCAGTACCTGGATGATGGAGAATCTCCCTAGACGAACGGCCAATTCTAACAGATAAGACCCACAGAGGACCCCCGACATTGCCCTGGTGACTTCCGTGGCAGCTATCTGTTCCCATTGGAGCAGCGGGCCCATTGCACCGTGCTTCTCTCTGCCTGTGTTCTTGAGGTCCTAGAACAGGGGTAGGCAACCATGGCTTTTTTATGACTCATAGACTTCAACTCCCAGAATTCCTGAGCCAGCATGGGGGAACTTTGGCCCCTTCATGACTCGTGGACTTCAACTCCCAGAATTCCTGAGCCAGCATGAGGAAAACTTTGGCCCCTTCATGACTCGTGGACTTCAACTCCCAGAATTCCTGAGCCAGCTATGCTGAGGGAAAAGGGAGGTTTCCAAGCTGAGCCAGGCTGGCTCAGGAATTCTGGGAGTTGAAGTCCACCTGTCTTAAAGGGGCCGAGGCTGAGAAACATTGACCTAGTCCAGAGGTAGGCAACCTTGGCTCTTTTATGACTCATGGACTTCAACTCCCAGAATTCCTGAGCCAGCCATGCTGGGGGGAAAGGGAGAGGTTTCCAAGCTGAGCCAGGCTGGCTCAGGAATTCTGGGAGTTGAAGTCCACGAGTCATAAAAGAGCCAAGGTGGCCTACCCGTGCCCTAGAAATGTTGGGGAACCTCTGGAGGTCCCTGCTTCCCAAGAGGGTCAAGCCCACCCAAGAGGCAGGGCAGCCCAGTCAAATGCCCTGAAGAGGGTCAAGGCTGGCAAGGTAAGGAACCTCGAACTCGGGACCCTGGATCTTTTCAGACACGGGTCATCAGTGGCACTCATTCCACCTGCTTTCTCGGGGCCCCTAAGTGATAACCCATCCCTGGGAGGACACTCCAGAGTCTTCAAGCACGCAAACCCCAAAACAACAGAACCAAGTTGGGAGGGGCCTCAGAGGTCTTCTAGTCCAGCCCCCTGCTCAAGCAGGAGACTCTATGCCATTCCAGGCAAGTGGCTGTCCAATCTCTTCTTAAAAACCTCCCGTGATGGAGCACCCACAACTTCTGGAGGCAAGCAGTTCCACTGGTTAATTGTTCTGTCAGGAAATTTCTCCTTAGTTTCAGGTTGCTTTTCTCCTTGATGAGTTTCCATCCGTCGTTTCTTGTCCTGCCTTCAGGTGCTTTGGAGAAGAGGATGACCCCCATCTTCTTTGGGGCAGCCCCTCAAATATTGAAACAGCTATCATGTCCCGCCTCGTCCTTCTCTTCATTAAACCGGACATATCCAATTCCAGCAACCGTTCCTTATGTTTCAGCCTCCAGTTTCCTGAGCATCTTGGTTGCTCTTCTCTGCACTCTTTCTAGAGTCTCAGCATCTTTTTTTAAATATTGTGGTGACCAAAACTGGATGCAGGATTCCAAACGTGGCCTTACCCAGGCCTTGTAAAGCCGTATTAAATTCTTGCCCCACAAAAGACTGCGAAGCTTAGCCAGGGGTTTTCCGAGTGGATTGTTTTTTTTTTTCTTTTTTATTTAGCTTAGTAACAGTCAAGTGTTTTATTTCCCTTTAAGTCTACAAAGCAGTCCAAAAAAATTGAGCCTCCTTTAAGGGGGGGGATGTTGCATGTTTAACCCCCAGGAAAGCAAAAGGAGTAGTGTTTATGCACACACGTGTGTTTTGGCCTGAGTGATTCTCTCCCTGGGTATGACACTGTGCCGTTCCTTCAGCGATCATCTCTCCTTCTTTATTGGTAATAAAACCCGCTATTAATTCTGAGCCCTGAAAAATGATTTGCAACTTATTAAAAAAAAATTAGATACAGGAAGTCCTGAACTTACAAGAGTTCATTTAGCGACCGTTCGGAGTTACAACAGCACTACAAAAGGACTGTTTTTCACACACGTACGACCAGGGTGCCATCTCCCTGGACATGCTATCCAAATTCAGAGGCTTATCGACTCCTATTTATGACGGTCGCAGTATCCCCAGGTCGTACGATCTCCTTTTTCTGATCTTCTGACAAGCAATGTCAACGGGGAAATCAGGTTACTAACTTACAAACTGCGGTGATTCATTTAACAACGGTGGCAAGAAAGGTCAGGAAATTGTCTCAATTGCTGTTAAGTTGAGGACTACCTGTATATTGCAGATTTGGGCTAGCTGAAATCGTCGTCGTATACAGCGATCGTTTCGTTTCTCTTTGCTGCGAGCAAATAATGCTAGACAGAAAAAGATTTCTGGGTAAAGATTTGCAGACACTTACGTGTCCCAAAAGTGCTTTTTTTTTTTTTTTCACGAGGCAACTGGACTTTGTTTTTCTTTGAAGAGGTTTCGCTTCTCATCCAGGAAGCTTCTTCAGGTTCTGACTGGAGGGTGTGGAATGGAAGGATTTACACTCATTTGCAGTCCTCTGGTCATTTGCCTTCTTTTAGAGCAGTGGTTCTCAACCTGTGGGTCGGGACCCCATTTGGGGTCGAACGACCATTTCACGGGGGTCGCCAAACAACGCAGTCCGCCATTTTCCCCCCCTTTTCCTTAGCTGTGCTACTCCCTTTGATTCTATTGGCTTTTGAAAGTCAATAGAATAGACCAATCTCTTGAATAGAGTCTAATTCTATTGGCTTTCAAAAGCCAATAGGAATTGTCCAGGCTGTCTCTGCCCTGCTGAGCCCACCAAAAGTCCCATTCTGCAAACGGTGCTGCACCAGTTGAGTAGTCCTCGACTTACGACCGGCTGAGTAGTCCTCGACTTACGACCGGTTGGGGGTGGCAGCATTAAAAAGGTTGAGAACCACTGTTTTAGAGAGTCGTTGAGCCCATTTGGAGGTTGATCTGTGTCCTCAGGGTCGCCTGAATGGTGCAAGTGGGGGTGGAGCCTTCTTGGAGCTGCTGATTGTGGGGTAGACTGGAGAGAGAGGATGGCATATCCCTCCCCTTCTGCTCAATTTTGACAGAGTTGGCATCCAAGTGGCCTCAACGACTCTCTAAAAGAATGCAAATGACCAGAGGAATGCAAAGGACTATCAACCCTCCCGTTTCCCACTGTGCAGCCGGAGCCGAAGAAGCTTCTTGGATGAGAAGCGAAACATTTTCCAAAAAAAACAAGAAAGTCCAGGTGAAAAAAAGCACCTTTGACCTAGATGACTGAGAATCTCCACAGACATTAAATGAAGAATTGGCCTAGTGAAGAATGGGCTGATCGGACATTTTTGATGCCCAGACCAAACTCACTGTTTTCCTAAAAAAGCAAGGAAGAATAATCTTTGTCTGATCTAATCAGCAGTTTCTCTCGGGGAGGGAAGGAAAACCACACCTTGGAAATAAATCCCAAGATTCCACTTTAGGATTTCATCACCTCTGATCCAACGTCCTGAATGCAGCGAGCCCTTTGCGAAAGAGATACGTGTCACAGACACAATTATTAAAAACAAGAGGAATGCATAGGTCGAACAATCTGGATTCTGCCCTCGGAGCTCAATCCATAGACTGACTCCGGGGCCCTAAGTTTCCCCTGTGCTACATCGATAAAACGAGAAAAAACAAACAAACCAGAATTATCTCCCACCTCCCCAAACTGTGCCTCCAAGAACTTTAAAAACAAAAAATCCAAGAAAGATTTAAAAAAAAAAACGGAGGATCAGCCCGACCTCCTAGCGAAGCCCTTCGACACTTTGACCCCATTTGTAAACCCCCAAATCTTTCCGTTGCCCAAAAGTAGAAAGGCTGTTAAAAATTCTCATCCGGGAAGATATTTTTCAGATTTTTTTCCTTTCTGTCTTGCAAAACGTCTTCATCCTTGAAAGTCTGGCTTAGCTTTCGTTTCAAATTTCAGCTTGTTTTGGGAATAAAGGATGGTGTATGGATGTCTGGACATCAACTCCCAGAATTCCTCAGCCAGTAACGCTGGCTGGGGAATTCTGGGAATTGAAATCCACACATCTTGAAGTGCCTGAGATCGAGAAATACTGCTCTGGCTATTTTGGGGCAACTAGCTACGAATCCTGGTTCCCAAGGGCCGCAAATTTAGTCCGCCCGTTTACCCAACGAGTTGCCGCTGCTGCTTCAGTGCGACATCAGAAGCAGGAAAAAAGGCCAAAAATCTGATTTTTTTCCCCCTCACGGCCTCCCTTCGGCCCTTGCGTTCACTGGACGAGCCCACCCTAACCACGATGGCAAACCCACACTGAGGCCAAAACCAAGCCCGCCGTGACATCAGCTGGCAGGATTCGGGGTGGAAAGCAACGGCACGTCGTCTCGCCGTGACGCCCCCTCGGAGTCCCGGCCCGCAGACTCGCCGGCCCGCCGGAGCAGCGAAGGCCTCCGATAAAGTTCTCCGTCCTGCAGGCCTTCGGGCAAGGGTTTGCGTTTGGTCTCGGGCAGCAGCAGCAGGCAGAGCAGGGCCAGGATGTTGAGGGAGGCCAGGACGATGTGTTCGAGGAAGGAGCCATGCTGCTCTCGCACCCGCAGCAAGGGGGCGCTCAGCCCTCCGAGGGACGCCAAGGCCAGGATAATGCCAAACCCCTTCCCTCTGCGGGAAGAAGATTGCCCTGTTAAATTGGCAGGACTCTTGAGTTTTCCGCTCTGTTGTCCTTTTTCTTCCCCCCCTTCATATTCTTTTTCATTTAGTTATTAAATTTACATACTGCCCATCTTGCTGTTTGGGACGAGGGAGGGAGGAAGGTGGAAGGAAAAGAAAGAAAGGAAGGAAGGAAGGAAGGAAGGAAGGAAGGAAGGAAGGAAGGAAGGAAGGAAGGAAGGAAGGAGAAAAGAGAGGGAGGGATCAATAGAGGGAGGAGAAAGGAAAAGTGATAAGAAGGAAGGAAAGGGGGAGGGAGAAAGGGAGGAAGGAAGGAAAAAAGGAAATTAGATACATAGAAGAAAGGAAGCGAGGGAAGGAGGGAGGGAGGAAAGAAAAGATGGAAGGAAGGAAGGAGAGGGAGGGATTGATGGAGGGGGGGAGGAGAAAGGAAAAGTGATAGGAAGGAGGGAAGGAAGGAAGGAGTGAGAAAGGGAGGAAAGAGAAAGGAAAATAGATAAACAGAAGGAAGAAAGGAAGTGAGGGAAGGAGGGAGGGAGGGAGGGAGGAAGGAAAAGATGAAGGAAGGAAGGAAGGAGGTGGGATGAAAGGAGGAACAGGTAGGGAGAAAAAAGAAAGAATGGAAAGAAAGGAAAAGAGATGGATGAAAGGAAGGAAGGAAGGAAGGAAGGAAGGAAGGAAGGAAGGAGCAAAAGCTGTGAGGACTAGACATTTGAAGACAAAATGGGTGGACTGAAAGGTAAGGAAGGATGTGAATTTACATTAGAGACTGTCTCTGTCTTTTAATTCTTCATTTTTCTACCCCGGGACCCCTTCTTATTCCCCTTTTCTGCCTTACCTGATCACAGTGGGGATGACTTCTGCCGCGAAAAAGACGCTGAGCGAGCCGGCCGCGTGGGAGGTGAAGAGACCAAGAATGGAAAACGTTCTTCGGGCCGCGTTGTTGAGATCTGCAACGGAAGACAAAATGGAAGGTGTGAAGTCACACAGGCTGGGAGAGCAGGGAAGGCAGCTGCACAACCTGGTCTCCCCCCCACCCCATCCAAGAAGCTTCTTCAGCTCTGACTGGATGGCGGAGAATGGATTTATACTCCTTGCATACAGCTGGTCATTTGCATTCTTTTAGAGAGTCGTTGAGGCCACTTGGAGATTTACCTGTGTCCTCAGGGTCACTTGAGTGGTGCAAATGGGTGTGGAGCCTTCTTGGCATTTGCACACTTGCACTACTCAGGTGACCCTGAGGACACAGGCAAATGTCCCAATGGCCTCAACGACCCTCTAAAAGAATGCAAATGACCAGCTGTCTGCAAGGCATATAAATCCTTCTGTTCCCCACCATCCAGTCAGAGCCGAAGAAGCTTCTGGGATGAGAAGCGAAAGGTCTTCGAAGAAAAACAAGAAAGTCCAGCTGCCTCCTGAAAAAAAAACACCTTTGGGGCAACCACGTCCTGGATGACTTGAGAACCTCCATAGATATTTCCCTGGCTATTTTTGTCCCTGCTCGGCCAACAATCTTAGTAGCTGCGAAACTGAATCTCTGTCCTTGTTCACTGCCATGTGAGGCTACCGAGGCTTCCTCGTCGGACCGCTCGCTTGTGTCCTTGCAAACTGGTGGCTGGCTTCCTCCCTGTCTCTCCTACGTAGTCACAGGCTACACAGCTCGGAAGAGTAAACCGCTGGTCCCAGAACTGGATCCCGCAAGAAGACGCTCCTTGGAAATTAGCCCAGGGTTCTTACATTCTCCCAGCCCCAGCAGGATCAGAGAGGCGATGCCAGTCAGGGTGGTGGTGAGGAGCAGAATCCCGCGCCGTCCATACCGACCGACGGTGAGGCAGAGAAAGAGGCAACCGAGGCCGGCGCTGCCAGCTGACAACAGGAAGGGGAAGTAGAACTTGGTGCGCGGGTCCTCCATGGACTCCCAGGCCTGCTGGTAACAGTGGCAGATCGCGTGGGCTATGAATCTGGAGGACAAAAAATGCGCCAACCTGGTTTAGCTCACGGGGTTCAAGGGTCTCAAAGGCATAAGAACAAACAAGGATGCCCAAGACCCATTTAGGATGGAAGGCAGGAACTCATTGCCACTGAAAGGACCGTTAAGAGGAAAATAAAGAGAGTCAGTTTGGTCTAGTGCAGAGGTAGGCAACCTTGGCTCTTTTATGACTGGTGGACTTCAACTCCCAGAATTCCTGAGCCAGCCATGCTGAGGAGAAAGGGAGAGGTTTCCATGCGGAGCCATGTTGGCTCAGGAATTCTGGGAGTTGAAGTCCACGAGTCATGAAGGGACCAAAGTTTCCCTCATGCTGGCTGAGGGATTCTGGGAGTTAAAGTCCACAAGCCATAAAAGGGTCATAGGTCTCTCACGCTGGCTGAGGAATTCTGGGAGTTGAAGTCCACCAGTCATCAAGGGAACCATAGTTCCCCCATGCTGGCTCAGGAATTCTGGGAGTTGAAGTCCAGAGCCAAGGTTGCCTATCCCTGTTCTAAGCTCTATCTCAGGGGTCTTCAAACTTGGCCCTTTTATAACTCATGGACAAACTCCCAGAATTCCTAAGCCAGCCACGCTGAGGGGAAAGGGAGAGATTTCCAAGCTGAGCCAGGCTGGCTCAGGAATTCTGGGAGTTGAAGTCCACGAGTCACAAAAGAACCAAGGTTGCCTACCCCTGGTCTAGTGCTTAAGCACCAGACTAGAAAGCAAGAAAACCTGAATTCAAGTCATGATATGGACATGAAAGATCGTTGGGTGACGTTGGGCCAATCACCAGGAGACAGTGAATTCTAGTCCCACCTTAGGCATGAACGCTGGTTGGGTGGCTCAGCTTGGGTTTTTTTTGGGGGGGGGCAACAGACTGTAAACACTTAAAGAGGGCTGTAAAGCACTGTGAAGCGGTATATACTGTAAGTCTAAATGCTATTGTTGTACTTCTCACCCACCCACAAGCCCACTCTGCCATTTCTGGATGAGCCTCCATAGGGTCTAGCAGCATGTGAAGTTCAACTCACGTGGTAAAACCCAGGATCAGAATGTTTTTCCAGATGTTCCTGCAGGACAGGAGAGTGCGGAGTGAGATCTGGGCAGCTGCAGGCAGGTGACAAGCGTTGTCCAGCTCTAAAGGGTGGGTGGAAGATGGAGGGACCAGATCACATTGTGGAGGAAGGAAAAAGGAAGGTGAATCATCACATCCTCCTTGACACAATCTTGTGTCAAACTGGAGAAAGACACAGAGGGGACCTCTAGAGCAGTGTTTCTCAAACTCGCCCGTTTTAAGATGTGTGGACTTCAATTCCCAGAATTCCCTAGCCAGCATGGCTGGCTGAGGAATTCTGGGAGCTGAAGTCCACACATAAAGGCCTGAAGTTTGAAAAACACTGTACTAAAAGTCTCAAAGCCAGCCATGGGAATTCTGGGAGTTGAAGTCCACACATCAAGGCCCGAAGGTTGAAAAACACTGTCCCAAGGGCCCCAAAGCCAGCCATGGGAATTCTGGGAGTTGAAGTCCACCCATCTTATCTCGACTCACAAACAATCAAAGTTTTGGAAAGCGGCATCACTCACCCTCCATCGCCTCTCGGGTCTCGGATTCCTGGGCGCTGCCATCTTGGCACAGGGCGAACAAGACCTTCTTGGCCTCAGCTGTTCGACGGGTTGCCAGGAGCCAACGGGGAGATTCAGGGAACAGTCCAGGGCAGCTGGGAAGGGAGGAAGGAAGCAGAGAATTTAAGAAAGAGGAACAATTAAAGGGAGGGAGGCAGGGGAGGGAGGGAGGGAAGAAGAAGGAAGGAAGCAGAGAATTTTAAGGAGGAAATATTAGGCAGGGAGGGAGGAAGTTTAAAAAGAGGAAATATTAGGGAGGGAGGGAGGAAGTTTAAAGTGTAAGGAGGAAATATTAGGGAGGAAGTTTAAAAAGAGGAAATATAAGGGAAGGAGGAAGGAAGTTTAAAAACTAAAGAGGAAGTATAAGGGAAGGAGGAAGGAAGTTTAAAAAGTAAAGAGGAAATATTAGGGAGGGAGGAAGGGAGGAAGTTTAAAAAGAGGAAATATTAGGGAGGGAGGGAGGAGGTTTAAAAAGAGGAAATATAAGGGAAGGAGGAAGGAAGTTTAAAAACTAAAGAGGAAGTATAAGGGAAGGAGGAAGGAAGTTTAAAAAGTAAAGAGGAAATATTAGGGAGGGAGGAAGTTTAAAAAGAGGAAATATAAGGGAAGGAGGAAGGAAGTTTAAAAAGTAAGGAGGAAATATTAGGGAAGGAGGAAGGACGTTTAAAAAGAGGAAATATAAGGGAAGGAGGAAGGAAGTGTAAAAAGTAAGGAGGAAATATTAGGGACGGAGGGAGGAAGTTTAAAAAGAGGAAATATTAGGGAGGGAGGAAGTTTAAAAAGAGGAAATATAAGGGAAGGAGGAAGGAAGTTTAAAAAGTAAGGAGGAAATATTAGGGAAGGAGGAAGGACGTTTAAAAAGAGGAAATATTAGGGAGGGAGGGAGGAAAGGTTTGCTAAATGAAGTTCTATAAAAATAAAAAGCCCAAACAGGAAGGAAACTTGTCCTCCAAATAAACAATCCTGCTAACCAACAGGGAGAAACGGGTCTCACCCAACCAAGATGAACAAGCAAGGGACAGTCTTGCCCAGATTTCAAGATTCGGTGGTTCTATAACCATAGAGCGGCCTTTGCGTGAACCTGGGCGCTCGGCCTTGATGGGGCCTACGTCAAAGGGCTGTGAAACTGCCAAATTTCAAAATCTCCCACATTTCTCTCTAATGGGGGGGCACAGTGGGCTTTTGGGTGAATAGGGCCATTTAAGACAAACGGAAACATAAGGAATATATCCTCACGAATCTCGCTCAGCTCCCAGCAGCCCCTGGGAAATCTTATTAGAATATTTCCATGGCAATTGCCGAATTTCAAGCTGTCAATCTTTCTTCTCACTAAGCCAACTGTTCTCTTCAAGACAGCAGAAAGCAGGACATAACCCGAGGCCTATGACTTATGCATATTTATACACGACACTCGCACAGGTGAGGCCCGAAGCACCAGCTATGCTCACACAAGTGAGGCCCAAAGCACCAATAATGCTTGCACAAGTGAGGCCCAAAGCACTAAGGATGCTTGCACAAGTGAGGCCCGAAACACCAATGATGCTTGCACACGTGAGGCCCAAAGCACTAAGGATGCTTGCACAAGTGAGGCCCGAAGCCCCAACGATACTCACACAACTGAGGCCCGAAGCACCAATGATGCTTGCACAAGTGAGGCCCGAAGCACTAAGGATGCTTGCAGAAGTGAGGCCCGAAGCCCCAATGACACTCACACAAGTAAGACTTGAAGCACCAGCGATGCTTGCACAAGTGAGGCTGGAAGCCCCAACAACACTCGCACAAGTGAGGCCAGAAGCACTAATGCTTGCACAAGTGAGTCCAAAAGCACCAGTGTCACTCGCACGAGTGAAGAGCACCAGCAATGCTCGCATGAGTAAGGCCTGGAACACCCGCATGTGCGCCCACCAGCCAGCCACTCACACGGCCCAGTTGTGAATAGGCCATGGACCAATAGTGCAGGGCTTTCAAACCAGTGGTACGGGTACCACCTGTGGTACATTGGCACCTGGCAGGTGGTACACGATCATCCTAGAAAAGTGGTAGCAAGGGAGGGGGATGAGCTGAACTGGTGGCAGCACCACACAAGCCTGAGCGAGAGATGGCTGGAGCTGCAGGGCTGTCAGGGCTCAGCGGAAGCGCCAGGATCAGCGCCAGGCTCCAGCTGGAGCTCTGCTGAGCCCAGAAGAAGCGCTGATCAGCTGGAAAGCAGCACTGATCCTGGTGCTTCTGCTGAGCCCAGAAGAAGTGCCGATCAGCTGGAATGTTGCAGCCTCTCCAGGGTCTTGTGATTTACATTCAGATGCTTGGCAACTGATTCATATTTATGACGGTCACCGTGTCCCAGGGTCATGTGAAGTGACCAAAACCTGCTGCACCCACCCAGCAGACGGGGGGAATAAAAACCAAACACCCCCCCACCCCATCCCCGCTGCCAATCCCCAACAGAAATGCTCACAACAATGAAAACCTCGGACAGGAGGAAGAGTGCCGCCGGGCGGGCAGGCGTCTTGTTCGGCTGTGGCTTGGGGGGCACTTTTTTCAGTGCCACTGTAACTTCGAACAGTCACTAAGTGAACTGTTGTAAGTCGAGGAGTACCTGTACTTTATCACTTTTTTACTTTTGGGGGGAGGGTTTGACACCTTGCTAGGCGACTGGTGGTACTCGGATGTTGCATATCCTAAAAGTGGTACAATGGGTGAGAAGGTTGAAAAGCCCTGCAATAGTGGGCTACGGCCCACAGGCTGGGGACCCGTTTGAATGGTTCTGGCACCCCTTCCTCAACACGGCCTGTCCCAGTGTGGAGAAAGGCAAGTCAACTTACCCATAGAGTAGGCAAAGCCCCATTCCGGCTGAGATAACGCCTTGTAGCACCCGCCAACTGCCGCAGGTCCACGCCAGTCCCAGCAGAAGGAATTGTCCTCCCACCTGGACGAGGTCTCCCGCCATGGTCATCGGGAGCCGTTGTGAAGGACAACACAACTCCAAACCTAGGAAAGAGAGAAATCAGGCAGGGTAACAGAAGTGGAATACAGGATGTCCTGCATATGACCAGAATTTTCTCTCGTTCAGTGAGAAATTTGTTAAGTGCCCCGTTTTACGACTCTTCTCGCCACATTTGTTAAGGGAACCACTGCATTTCTAAATATTCCTAAATATGAGCCAGCCGTGTACTGCAGCTGCCAAAAAGGCCAACACAGTGCTAGGCTGCATTAACAGAGGGATAGAATCAAGATCACGTGAAGTATTAATCCCACTCTATAATGCCTTGGTAAGGCCACACTTGGAATACGGCATCCAGTTTTGGTCACCACGGTGTAAAAAAGATGTTGAGACTCTAGAAAGAGTACAGAGAAGAGCAACAAAGATGATTAGGGGACTGGAGGCTAAAACATATAAGGAACGGTTGCTGGAGTTGGGTATGTCTAGTTTAACGAACAGAAGGAAAAGGGGGGACAGGATAGCAGTATTCCAATATCTCAGGGGCTGCCATAAAGAAGAGGGAATCAAGCTATTTTCCAAAGCACCTGAAGGCAGGATAAGAAGCAACGGGTAGAAACTAATCAAGGAGAGAAGCAACCTAGAACTAAGGAGAAACTTCCTGACAGTGAGAACAATTAATCAGTAGAACAGCCTGCCTCCAGAAGCAGTAAATGCTCCAACACTGGAAGTTTTTAAGAAGAGACTGGACAGCCATTTGTCCGAAATGGTGTAGGGTTTCCTGCCTGAGCAGGGGGTTGGACTAGATGACCTCCAAGGTCCCTTCCAACTTTACTATTATTATTATTATTATTATTATTATTATTATTATTATTATTATTATTATTATTATTATTATTATTATTATTATTATGATCATCGCACAGTCAGCCAGATGTTCAGACTGGATTTGGCATTTTGTCTACCTATCGAGTCCTTACCCAGGACCTGGGATAGGCAGATGTGGATGTTTGATGGTATTACAGGTATTGTCGCAGGATGGAAGCAGTTCCTAGTAAGGCCGCCTTTTGCAATTGACTAATAGCGAATTTGTCAATGCCAATGGTGTTCAAGTGGTGCTCCAGTTGTTTTGGGATTGCACCCAAGGAGCCTATGACTATTGGTACTACCCTTGCTTGCTTTTGCCACAGTCTTTTTATTTCTATTTGTAGGTCTTTGTATTTTGTTGTTGTTGTTATTATTATTATTTCGTAAATTAGGAACAACGTTGATACTTACGGGTGATATAGAGGGCGAGTTGTAAAGCTCCCAACATGGTAGCCCAGAGGCACCGGCCCAGTATGAAGATGGAGGGAGAAGCTGCAAAGGCTGCCAGGATGCCTGCTGGACAGCCAAGAATCAGAGACAGGAAGAAGGTACTTCGCCGTCCTACACTGCAAGGAGCAACAGAAATGGAGAGATTACAAGTCGGTCCTCAACCTACTACCGTAATACGGGTCGCTAAACAAGACACTCATTAAGTGAGATGCGCCTGGTTATTTTTCCTCTTGCCACAGTGGTGAGGCAAATTGCCGATTCGCGTGGTTTTGCCCCGCTTTACGACCTGTCTTGTTATAGTTGTTAAGTGAATCACGGCAGTTGTTCAGTGACATGGGGGTTAAGTGATTCTGGCTTCCCTCTTTGACTTTGCTTGTCAGAAGGTCATAAAAGGGGATCCCGGGACCCCCGCCATAAATACGAGTCCGTTGCCAAGCACCCAAGTTTTGATCACGTGACCACAGGGATGCTGCAATGGTCGTTAAGTGTGAAAAACGGCCGCGAGTCATGTTCTCGAGTGCCACTGTAACTTTGAACGGTCACTAAACAAACAACAGTTAAGTCAAGGACCTGGTCACCATATCATAAAAAAGATGTTGAGAGTTTGGAAAAAATTCAGAGAAGAGCAACTAAGATGATCCAAGGCCTGGAGGCCAAAACATAGAACGGCTGCAGGACTTGGGTTTGGCTACTCCAGGGCTAGGCCACCTTGGCTCTTTCATGAGCCGAAGTGGCGCAGCAGTTAGAGTGCAGTACTGCAGGCCACTTTAGCTGACTGTGTTCATCAGGTCAGCGGTTCAAATCTCACCGGCGCAAGGTTGACTCAGCCTTCCATCCTTCCGGGGTAGGTAAAATGAGGACCCAGATTGTTGGGGGCAATGTAAATATATATATACATTGCTTACTGGTGTACACCGCTTAGAGAGTGCTTGCACTTAAAGCGGTATATAAGTCAAATAAATAAATAAATAAATAAATGACTCGTGGACTTCAAGTCCCAGAATTCCTGAGCCAGCCATGCTGAGGGGAGAAGTTTTCAAGCTGAGCCAGGTTGGCTCAGGAATTCTGGGAGTTGGTCCACCAGTCATGAAAGAGCCAAGGTTGCCTACCCCTGGGCTAGTCTAAAGAAAAGAAGAAATAGGGGTGACATGATAGTACATGCCCCAAAGAAGAGGGGATCAAATTATTCTCCAAAGCATCAGAGGGCAGGACAAGAAACAACGGATGGAAACTGACCAAGGACAGAAGCAACCTGGAATTAAGGAGAAAGTTCCTAACAGTGAGGACAATCAACCAGTGGAACAGCTTGCCACCAGAAATCATGGACGCTCCATCACTGGAGATTTTTAAGAAGAGACTGGACATTCACCTGTCTGAGACAGTATAGGTCCGTGGTGGCGAACCTATGGCACGGGTGCCAGAGGTGGCACTCGGACCCTTCTCTGTGGGCACGTGCGCCGTCGCCCCAGTCCTAGGCCTTCAGCTGGTTTTATAAAACCTTTTCGCTTTAGGCCTCGGTCGCCATGTGCAAAAAAAAAAAAAAAAAAGGTTCAATCAGTCAATTTCAACTTCTCGTGGGAAAAAAAAAGATCTTGCAAAGTTGGAATTGATTGATTGAACTTTTTAGTCCCACCCAGTCTGCCGTTACCACAGCCACCCCCACCCAATTGGCAACGCCCAGCCAATGGGCCACACCCACCTGGCACTCAATGATGCATAAGTGGGTTTTGGGTTGCAGCTTGGGCACTCGGTCTCTAAAAGGTTCGCCATTACTGGTATAGGTTCTCCTGCTTGAGCAGGGGGCTGGACTAGAAGACCTCCAAGGTCCCTTTCTATTCTATTCTGTTCTATTGTATTCCTATCCATTCTATTATCATTCCATCTATTCTATTCTATTCTATTCTATTCTATTCTATTCTATTCTATTCTATTCTATTCTATTCTATTCTATTCTATTCCATTCCATTCCATTCCATATTTTCTCTATTCTATTCTGTTCTGTTCTGCTCTACTCTACTCTATTATTATTTATTAAATTTATATGCCACCAATCTGAAGGTCCCTCTAGGTGGCTTACAGTTGCTAAAAAAACCAATTAAAAGAAACATTAAAACGATAAATAGGGTAATCCAATTTAGTTTACAAACTAAAAAACTCCTATCCCAAACTTCTAACTTACCTGTCAGCCAGGTGACCCAGGAAAACAGCTCCTGCCGCAAAGCCGAGGAGGAAACAGATCTGCTCCAGAGGGATGACCCAACTTCCAGAGCGATCCAGGTTCCACTAAAAAAAAAAAAAAGGAATAAGAAATTTAAAAAAAAATCAAATTATGCTTCAGGATAAACGAGTGCCTAATTTAAATCTGAAATTGGAAGGAATCCGGCTGCATCTTTTCAAACTACAGACGGTCCTCACTTAATGACCTGTTTGAGGTTACGACGGGGCTGAAAAATTGGTCCTCGCGCTTACAATCACTGCAGCGCAGGTCGTCCTCGACTTACAACAACGGAGCCCCAAAGTTTCTGTTGCTAAGCGAGGCATCTGTGAGGCGAGTTTTGTCCCATTTGACATCCTTTCTTGAAGTGAATCCCAGCAGTTGTTAAGTTAGTGACACGGTCGTTAAGTGAATCTGGCTTCCCCCCCCCACTTTTTCTTGTCAGAAGGTCGCAAAAGGGGAATCACGTGAGCCCGGGACACTGCGACCATCATAAATAGGAGTCACTTGCCAAGTGTCTGAATTTTGATCCTGACTTTCATGGCAAGAAACATTGTAAAATGGGGCAAAACTCCCTGAACAACCGTCTCACTGGTCGTATGTTGAGGATCATCTATATTCACTAAGCATTCCATTTATTCTCCTGTATTTATTTTCATCCTCTCTCTCTCTGTTTTGCCACATTCAGCAATCAAATTTCAGCTTTGCAGTCCAGGGGTAGGCAACCTTGGCTCTTTTATGACTCGTGGACTTCAACTCCCAGAATTCCTGAGCCAACCATGCTGAGGGGAAAGGGAGAGGTTTCCAAGCTGAGCCATGCTGGCTCAGAAATTCTGGGAGTTGAAGTCCACGAGTCATAAAAGAGCCACGGTTGCCTACCCCTGGTATAGGGTTTCCTGCCTGAGCAGGGGGTTGGACTAGATGACCTCCAAGGTCCCTTCCAGCTCTGTTATTCTGTTATTCTGAATGGTCTAGGCCAGGGGTAGGTAACTGGCTCTTTTATGACTCATAGACTTCAACTCCCAGAATTCCTGAGCCAGCCACGCTGAGGGGAAAGGGAGAGGTTTCCAAGCTGAGCCATGCTGGCTCAGGAATTCTGGGAGTTGAAGTCCATGAGTCATAAAAGAGCCACGGTTGCCTAGCCCTGGTCTAGGGACTCCTGCTTGAGCAGGGGCTGGACTAGAAGATCTCCAAGGTCCCTTCCAGCTTTGTTATTCCGTATGGTCTAGGCCAGGGATAGGCAACCTGGGCTCTTTTATGACTCATGGACTTCAACTCCCAGAATTCCTGAGCCAGCCATGCTGAGGGAAAGGGAGAGGTTTCCAGGCTGAGCCAGGCTGGCTCAGGAATTCTGGGAGTTGAAGTCCACAAGTCATGAGAGGGCCATAGTTCCCCCATGCTGGCTCAGGAATTCTGGGAGTTGAAGTCCACGAGTCATAAAAGAGCCAAGGTTGCCAACCCTGCTCTAGTCATACAAAACATCTTAAGTGTTTCTTTGTTTTTTGTTTTAAATAAGAAGCATGCAATAAGCTTCTTCCTTCTGAAGAACAAAAATCCGGTTTCTTCACTTCCTGACTGGCAAAAAGCCCAAAAGGTTCCCTAAATTGGCTCCGTGGCCACGTCTTGAGCAAAATTAAAGGAAGAATCCTTTTGCTGATCACACTTAACAAACTGCTATAACTTTTTCTTTCCGTTGTAGAGGAAAACAACGACCTTCCCCCCCCCCCATTTGTTAGGTCCCAGAAGCAGCCCTGACGTGCACTTTAAACAACCTCACAAACAATCCATATCTGGATTTTAACATGTTTCCAGTTGCACCGTCATTGACAAATAACATTTTTCACATTCTCACTTAGGACATTTATTCGTTGTTTTCCTTTGGTGGCTTCCCAGTCTCGGTGATTCAAGTCAGCCCACGTAATAATTCTACTTAAGATTCGTAATTCTACTTCGTCGTAAGGCTATTTTAACAAAATGTTGGTGGCGTGAAAGAACAGGCAATCCTCAGTTTCCAACAATTCAGCTGAAAAAATTTCTATTGTTAAGTGAGTTTTGCCTCCATTTTACTTTTCTGGCCACAGTTGTTAAATGAATCACTGCAGTTGTTAAGTTCGTTGTTAAATGAATCTTAGCTTCCCCATTGACTTTGCTTGTCAGGTCACGAAAGGGGAGCACATGATCCCGAGTCACACTGCGACCGTCATAACTATGAGCCAATTGCCAAGTGTCTGAAGTTTGATCACATGACCCTGGAGATGGAACGGTCGTAAGTATGAAAAATGGTCATAAGTCGCTTTTTTCAGTCCTGTTGTAACTTCAAACGGTCACTAAATAAACTCAAAGGCTACATGCCCCACAGATTCGAAATTCTACTTTATTCTACGACGACATTAACAGAATTTCGCCAGCGTGAAAGAACAGGCCGTCCTCGGCTTAGGACCGCAATGCAGCTGGAAAAAAATTCGTTAAGCAAGATATGTGTTGAGTTTTGCCTCGCTTTACGACCTTTCTTGCCGCAGTTTTTAAGTGAATCACTGCAGTTGTTAAGTGAGTCACAAGGTTGTTAAGTGAATCTTAAACTTCCCCGTTGACTTTGCTCGTCAGACGGTCACAAAAAGGGGATCATGTGACCCCGGAATGCTGCGACCGTCGTAAATGTGAGCCAGCATCTGACCTTACATGCACATGTGCAAACGAGAATGTGGCCCCATGTGCACAAACAAGCCGCAAGCATGCACACGGGGCTGTGAACCTGCACGTGAGGCTCTCAGTGACGCCGGTGTCTGTGTGAGGCTTGTGGTGCCACCGCCACCAAGCTCGCAGCGATGCTACCACCTGCACGAGGATCACCCCGCCACCCCACGTGGGGCTCGCACTGCGGCCCACCTACTGCCTGTCTCTTGTGGCACTGCCGCCACCGGCACAAACTTCGTGGCAATGCCACCACCTGCGTTTGGCACGCTGCCGCCCACCTGCCACTCACAGTGCTCCCACCGCCTGTGCAAGTTTATGGCAACACCGCTGCCCACACGGTACTAGCGGCAACGGTAGCACGAGGAGGGGTGAGCACACGCACACACCCACGTGCACCACCCAGCTACTCACGTGGCCCAGTGGCCACGGCCCAATAGCGGGCCGTGGCACATAGGTTGGGGACCCCTGGTGGCCATGCTTGTGGCTTGTTTGTGCACGCGTGTGCACGTGTGGCCACATTCACGTTTGTGCGTGTGCGTGTAAGTTCCCTGCCCCTCCCTCTCCCACTGGGGTGCCAACCCATAAAGCAGCGGTTCTCAACCTGTGGGTCGGGACCCCATTTGGAGTCGAACTACCATTTCACGGGGGTCGCCAAACAACGCAGTCCGCCATTTTTTCTCCCTTTTCCTACTCCCTTTTATTCTATTGGCTGTTGAAAGCCAATAGAATAGACTCTCTTGAATAGAGTCTAATTCTATTGGCTTTCCAAAGCCAATAGGAATTGTCCAGGCTGTCTCTGCCCTGCTGAGCCCGCCAAAAGTCCCATTCTGCAAACGGTGCTGCACCAGTTGAATAGTCCTTGACTTACGACTAGTTGAGTAGTCCTCGACTTTACGGCATTAAAAAGGTTGAGAACCACTGCCATAAAGTTTGGAGACGCCAGTTCTAGATAACCTATTTGGCATTAAAGACCAGGGACATTTCTTTCCATTTTTAACATATTTCACATAAATCATAACAGCAGGAAAACGAAGCCGCAGAGATACTCACCTCGGTCACCGGGTTGCTGGTGAGGACGGGGAGTCTGGAGGACCCCCCACTCTGCCAGTGGGGCCCGTCACAGGTGGCATTCTCGGGGAGTTTAGTGCCGTTGGGGTCCCGGCACTGGGCAGGGGTGAGAGCAAAGAGGGCATCCGAGCCCAAGGCCAAGCCCAGAAGGAGGCAGGGAAGGCAGCTGAGAGCCAGGAGAAGGCGCTGCCGACGTTGGCCCCGGGCCCCGAGGCGCCCCAGCAGCCATTCGAAGGAGGGAGGGCCCAGCTGAGAAGCCGAGGTGGTAAAATCCCTTCGGGGACCCCCGGGATCTGGGATCGGGGGGCTGGTATCCATGGGAAGCGTCTGTGGAAGGGGGAAAAATGGAATTAATAAATAGGCAATCAGGAAGAAATACAAGAGAGAAAATGGAGAGGGTTTTAAATGAGTGTTGTTGAACTTTGGCTAATTTCAGAGGGGTGGACTTCAACTCCCAGAATTCCTGCTGGCTGGGGAATTCTGGGAGTTGAAGTCCACCAGTCTTAAAGTGGCCAACGCTGGTTTAAATGAATAGCTGCCTCTGTAAACAGCCGTTCCTTGTTTTTTGAACCCATGCATCCTTAGGAGATGTGATGCACCACGATGCCCAATAAAAGGGCAAAGAAATACTAAACCCGGTTAAAACAAACCCAGAATCTTAGCCTATGGAGAGAGAAAGTAGATTGTGAGTTCAGACAAGTACAATTCCCACAGGGAGCAGTAAGGGGCGCCATTCCCTTGGATCAAAGGTCCCAACCCCTTGCTCGTGTCAGGAATTGAAGAGGTCAAGGCCCCCAAACCATGGCTCCGCTCCCTCAAAGTGTCCGGACACCACCGTGCTGTCCACACACTGCATTTTGGAGGAAGGGTCCCGGGGCCACAACTAGGGGGTGGTCCCAAGACAGCACCTTCCCCCAGAACCCATCCCTAAGATGCTGGCTGGCTGGCTGGGGATGCTAGGCATTGCAACCCCACCCCTCTGAAAGCTGGAAAGGAGGGCCGAGGGAGGCAAGATGGGCTTTGTAGTCGCCCATAGGCTGGGGAAATGGCGAAGAAAGGCTCCAGCAAGGGGAAAGAGAAAGCAGAAGATTCTTGGGTTTCTTTTAACCTGGTTTAGTATTTCTGGGACCTGGTTTGGGACATCACCTGTGAAGGATGCAGGCGTTCACACGACCCCCGTTCTGGGCATCACCTGCGACACGGATGTGAAGGATGCAGGCGTTCACACGACCCCCTTGCTTTTAAGGTGCAACTAAGCCGGGTTGGGGGCAAATGCAAACGCAATTTGAATTTGGGGGGCAAAGCAAAGGGGGGGATCCCGCCTGGGGGGCGTGCAGGAAGGAAGGAAAGGCCGGGGGGAGGGTAGAAAGGGGTCCCGGGACGCGACAAAGAGGGCAAAGCGGCCGCTCCAAAGGCGGAGACGGAGCAGCCGAGCCCAGCGGAGGGCAAACCCAACCGGGGGATGCTCACCAAGCGCCGGGTGGGCGCCCACCGCCGGCTGCAAGACACCCCGAAGCCGGGCCGCCGCCGCCCGGGAAGCACAGGCCGAGGGAGCCGGCAGTCCCCGCCCCTCGGCCGCCTCCACCTCCACCCGGAGCCGCCGCCCCCAGCCCGACGTAGCGACCTCCTCGCCTTCTTTAGGGACCCGGGCGGCGGCCAGGATCTGCAACCTGGCGCCCGCTGCAATTCTCTTCCTCCAGCCCGGCTAGGCTGGACCCGGGCAGGGTTTGACTTCGGATTTGGGGAGGGGGGCGTCGGCAGCAGCCTCGCGGCCACCCGGGCAGGCGTGGTTGGGGCTGGCAAGGAGCCACGGGCGATCCCAGCTTTTGCGCGGGCGAGGGGAGCGCTCGGATCGGGCGCAGCCGGGGGAGGAGCTCTCCCAGCCGCTGGTCGGAGGAGCCTTCCGCAATGTTTGGGGGGGAAGGGGGGGGCGGCGGCATTAAGGAGGCATGCCGGGAGTTGTAGTTCAGAAGATCCGGCCAGTCGTATCCAAAGGCGGAAATTAAAATTCACTCCCTTTCTTTCTTTCTTTCTTTCTTTCTTTCTTTCTTTCTTTCTTTCTTTCTTTCTTTCTTTCATGCCGGGAGTTGTAGTTCAGAAGATCCGGCCAGTCGTATCCAAAGGCGGAAATTAAAATTCACTCTTTCTTTCTTTCTTTCTTTCTTTCTTTCTTTCTTTCTTTCTTTCTTTCTTTCTTTCTTTCTTTCTTTCTTTCTTTCATGCCGGGAGTTGTAGTTCAGAAGATCCGGCCAGTCGTATCCAAAGGCGGAAATTAAAATTCACTCTTTCTTTCTTTCTTTCTTTCTCTTCCTTCCTTCCTTCCTTCCTTCCTTCCTTTTGCACGGACTTTTTGGGGGGGCTGATTTCACGCGCATCTCGTGTGTGAATGCCAGCCTGGGTTCCCGGCAAGATGCCCGATTTTAAACTCCCCTCCAGGTGTTTCTTAACTTCTGCCCCTTTCAGACAGCGTCTCCCAGCGTTTTTCCATACTCCGCGCCCCTCGAACGCTTCTGCTATATTCTCACACCCGCTTAGAGAAGTGCGAAGTCACGGCAACCAATTATGAAATATACACTATAATTTTGAACACCCAAGTTTTGGCACCCCCCAGGAATATCGTCTCGCAGCCCCGGTAGGGAACCCCTGCTTTAAGAGGTCGTGCACACGTATACTTAACCAGAACTAGACTTGTTTTTTCTGTGTGACTTATATGTGGGTATATGCATGACTTTGTATTTATTTTTGTCATATTTATTTATGTAGTGTATATCGGAGGTGGTGACCCTTTAAGAGCTGAATGCAACGAAATTTCGTTTAATGTACCCCGATTGGTGTACATTCAATGTGACAATGGTTATTATTCTATTCCATTCCATTATTCTTCTATTCTATTTCATATTTTCTATATTCTACTCTATTATTGTTATTATTTTATTCTATTCTATTCCATTATTCTTCTATTCTATTCCATATTTTCTATATTCTACTCTATTATTGTTATTATTTTATTCTATTCTATTATTATTCTATTCTATTTCATATTTTCTATAGCCAATTCTATTATTATTATTACTAGTCTAGTCTATTCCATATTTTCTATATTCTATTCTATTCAATCCTGTTTCAGACAAATGGCTGTCCACTCTTCTTAAAAACCTGCAGTGATGGAGCACCCACAACTTCTGGTGGCAAGTTGTTCCACTGGTTAATTGTTCTCATTGTCAGGAAATTTCTCCTTAATTACAGGTGGCTTTTCTCCTTCCTTTCTCTTTCTTTCTTTCTTTCTTTCTTTCTTTCTTTCTTTCTTTCTTTCTTTCTTTCTTTCTTTCTTTCTTTCTTTCTTCTTCCTTTCTTCTTTCTCTGTCTCTCTCTTTCCTTTCCAATAATAAGAATAGAACTGGAAGGGACCTTGGAGGTCTTCTAGTCCAGCCCCCTGCTCAAGCAGGAGACCTTAGAGGTCACTTCTTTTAGCGCTGTCATAACTTCGAACGGTCACTGAATGAACGATTTTAGGTTGACAACTAGCTACATACCAATAATAGCAAATCTAATTTGCAAGAACAATGTCAGGAGTGTGGAATGTATGTGTAATCCACAATTTAAGACCAAGAATCGCCATTGCTAAATAGGCTGGTTGTTAAGTTTCTCACGCCCTACTTTGCGGTCATTTTTTTTTCATGGTTGTTAAGTGGGTCACTGCAATCGTTAAATGAATCGTGGGTCGTTAAGTGAATCCAGCTCCCCCTCCCCTTGACTTTGCTTGCTGGGAAGGTCCCAAATGGGATCCCATGAACCTGGTTTGTTGAGCGCCTGAATTTTGATCACGTGATCACGGCGACGCTACGACGGTCCAGTCGTAAATCATTTTTTTCAGTCCCAGTGTAACTTTGTGTCGCTAAATGAATGGTTCTAAGTCGAGGACTATCTACACAGCTGAACGGAGAAGGAAGGAACCCACCAGAAATTTAAAAATGTCTTTTTTTTTTTTTTTTAAACACACAGCCATTATTTTTTCCACCTATTTTATTATCATCAAACCTAGAGAGATTCTGGGAAATATTTCCTGAGAGAAAAAAAAAAATACTTTGTCCCCGTTTACTTATATTCTGAAGGTGTTTCTGCGAATTCAGTCTGTTTTCAACTGGGGTCCCTTCATGAGGGATGGACTTCAACTCCCAGAATTCCCCAGCCAGCAAAGCTGGCTGTGGAATTCTGGGAGTTGAAGTCCACCCCTCATGAAGGGATCAAGGTTGAGAAATAGTCTTCTAATTAATAGCCTTTTATATTGTTGGCCTTTCCAATCCTTGACATAATGTCCTTTATTGCAGCTTATCGGGAGGGCAAAGGGGGGGGGGGCTGGCAATGAGACACCCCATTTGGCAGCCATTTTCTTCTTCCTCCCTTCCTGTTAAGCCTCTGGGAGTGTCCAGAGAGAGCGTTCGAGAGCGAGAACGAGTGCTGTTCCTTTCCTTTTGACCATCGGGAGTGTCCAGAAAGCAGCCAAGGTCCCCCCGTTTCCTCTCCCCCCCTTTAACCCACAGCCTCAATCCAGTTGTCCCCGTGGATTATGGGGGTCGCCCTTCAGGAATAAAGAGCCCGTTCAGAAGTCCGGCAGCGGAGGGGGTCCCGAGTTCGAGAGACGCTGGCGTAGAAGGGCCGAAATTGGGGGGGGGGGTTCTTTGGCTAGGAAGGTTGCAGCGCACAAGGAAGGAGGCCAAGGTTAGGTCCTTGAGATACAACGGGGCGCTTTTGAGCCCGCGCGTTTTGGAAGGATGGACGAGCTGAACATCCCGTACCGATTCCAGGAACCGTTGCTAGCCAGGATGGGCCCCGCCAGCATCCTCGGTCACCCTCCGCAGAAAGAGAGACCCATCGTCCACCTCCGGGTAGAGCAGCAGCAGCTCTGCGGAGTCCCGGATCAAGAGGGCGCCAGGGCGCCCAGCAAGGTGGTGAAGGCCAGAGCTTGGCGTGACAACTCGGCTACACATCCCTGCATCTCGCGAGCGGCGGGGGGCGACGGGTAGCGCAAAGCGGCGCTCTTGACGGAGAGGACCGCCTCCTTCAAGGCTTGGCAGAGGGCGGTGCTGGCGGAGCCCACCCTGGCCCGCACGGCCGCCGAAGACGCCAGGCGGGAGACGGTGTCGCCCACAAAGACCAGCTTGTGCGCCGTGACGATGACGAACTTGCCGTGCGGCACGAAGACGCGGGGCGGCTGGTGGGCCCCGGCGCTGGCCGAGAGCGCTTCGATGGCGGACAGCAGGGTGCGGTAGTGCGTCTGGCACTGCCCCGTGTAGAACTGCAGCAGCTGGCTGTCCTCCGGGGATGGCGGCGCCTGGCAAGGAGAGGAGACGGCAATCTTAGGAACTCCTCGCCATTGGGAAATGTACATTTCTGGTGCCGTTCGCCCCCCTCCGGCGGCTGAGTTTTCCCCAGGGGTTTTTAATCAAAAAATATTTCAATCCGGCGGGATCCACGGGGTGGGGGTCAAAAAAGTCAAGATGGCTGCCAGGACAGTGTGATCGGAGCTAGGTAGGGGTCAGTTTGGAGGGCAGCGTTGCTGCTGTTGACATTTTGGCTTTTTTCCCCCCACCCAATCCCATGGACCCCTCTGTTTACACAAGTTGTGGCCAGATACACAAGGATTCCAACCAGAAGGTCCAAATTCCACCCAGCGTTGCATTTCATCAGGACGTCTGCAAGGGAGGGGGGGGGAGAGCCAATGGTCAGCTTCGGATTTTGCAAACAGGGCTTTCCGCAAATGTCCTGCTTTTTAAGGGCTGGACCCCCCCCCCCCCAGGAAGGATCCCTGGCCCCGGGTGGGACAGAGTGAGAACAAGGGGTTATAAAGATAGATACCATTTCTTCGGTGGGAGTTGCCTCTTCTTCCGGGACCATAAGTGTGGGGCTGGCTTCGGGTGTGGTTGCTTTCTGCTGGATTTTATCAGTCCCCTGAGGAGAAAAGAAGGGAAGGGTAGGGTAGGGAAGGGAAGGGAAGGGAAGAGAAGAGAAGAGAAGAGAAGAGAAGAGAAGAGAAGAGAAGAGAAGAGAAGAGAAGAGAAGAGAAAGGAAGTAAAGAAGGGTAACAGGAAGGAAGGAAGATGAGTAGGAGATAAAGAAGAGAGGAAGGAGAAGAAAAGTGAAGAAGAGAAGAGGGAAGAAGAGAAGAGAAGAGAAAGGAAGTAAAGAAGGGTAACAGGAAGGAAGGAAGATGAGTAGGAGATAAAGAAGAGAGGAAGAAGAAAAGTGAAGAAGAGAAGAGAAGAGAAAGGAAGTAAAGAAGGGTAACAGGAAGGAAGGAAGGTGAGTAGGAGATAAAGAAGAGAGGAAGGAGAAGAAAAGGGAAGAAGAGAAGAGGGAAGAAGAGAAGAGAAGAGAAGGGAAGTAAAGAAGGGTAACAGGAAGGAAGGAGGAAGGTGAATAGGAGATGGAGAGGAAATGAAAGGAGAAGAAAAGTGAAGAGAAGAGAAAAGAGAAGCAAAGAAGAGTAACGGAAGGAAGGAAGATGAATAGGAGATAAAGAAGAGAGGAAGGAGAAGAAAAGTGAAGAGAAGAGGAGTGAAGAGAAGGGGAGGGGAGAAGGAAGAACAAAAGATGGAGAGAAGAGAGAAAGAAGAGAAGAGATGAAGCAAAAAAGGAACAACAATGAGGAAGGAAGGAAGGAAGGAAGGTGGAAGATGGGAAGAGGAAGGAGAGTGGAAAACGGGAAGAGAAAGGAAAGAAAAGGAAAAAAAGGGAAGGGAAGAACAACAATAAGTGCATTTCTTTGCTGAGTTTTATTACAGGATAAATAAGACAGAAAACCAAATGTCACAACGCGATTAAGAAGCTTTCTTGAAAAGCTCAAAACAACGGAACAATCCCAATTAATACAGATCAGCCCAGGGAAGACTCCCCCCCCCAAGACCTGCTTTGCTTCTGATTCAGAGCCCCCCCCACCATTCCGATTGACCCTTCATTTTTTTCCCCACCAAGCCCATCTTTTCCTGCCTCACAGGCTCAACTCAGCGAATCCGAGCTGACATCCTATTTTAAAGTCTCATGAAAGTGTGAAAAAAGTGTGAAAAAAGAGCCATGCGTCACTTTTTTTTCAGTGGACGTCGTAACTTCAAACGGTCACTAAACGGACCGTTGTAAGTTGAGGACCACCCCTAATTCCGGTGCACACAATACACCGGGAGGTAAGCCTACTCCAGCGCCAAGGGTTTTCCCTCAAAAAGAAAGAAAAGGCGGGCATTTGTTTGGAGGGATGGATCTGCTTTTTAAATTTAAAAATGTAAACCGGTGTCGGGTTCGAGACGAGGCAGATCCCTCCAAAGCACGTTGCACTTGGGTGAGTTTTGCACACAATGCGCCCCGTTGTGACACGTCTAAGATTAATGTCATTTTGGGTTAATGTTCACCTTGGGCTTGGGGAGGGAAAGAACGGAAATATGTCGAGGCTGAGAGCGCCTTTGCAAGAGAGGAAAATAAACCCCATTTTGCAAAAAACATCACACTGAAAGGCTGTGTTAAGTCTTTCTGATTTGTGGAACGTGCAGCGGAACAACCGCAAGGCCAAATTTAAGGGATAATCTTATATTTCAGCCATAATTTCCCTCTTTTTTTTTCTTTTTTCTTTAAAGCAGGTAGATCTAGAGACGAGGAGGTGAATTTTTGAAGGGGTCTGTCAGCTAACGAGAAGCCACGGATGGAAACTCAGTGAAGAGAGAAGCAACCTAGAACTAAGGCGAAACTTCCTGGCAGTGGGAACAATTAACCAGTGGAACTACCTGCCTCCAGAAATTGGGCAATACGGAATACAGAATAAAAGAGTTGGAAGAAGAATTGGTCTAGACCAGGGGTAGGCCACCTTGGCTCTTTTATGACTCGTGGACTTCAACTCCCAGAATTCCTGAGGGGAAAGGGAGAGGTTTTCAAGCTGAGCCAGGCTGGCTCAGGAATTCTGGGAGTTGAAGTCCAAGAGTCATAAAAGAGCCAAGGTTGCCTACCCCTGATCTAGACTCTTCCGGAAGGGCGACCCCATAATCCACGGGGACGAACGGATTGAGGCTGTGGGGTAAAGTGGGGGAGGGGGGGAGAGAGAGGAAAGGGGGGACCTTGGCTGCTTTCTGGACGCTCCCGATGGTCAAAAGGAAGGGAACAGCGCTCGCTCACACTCTTGCTCTCTCCAGACACCCCCAGAGGCTTGACAGGAAGGGAGGAAGAAGAAAATGGCTGCCAAATGGGTGTCTCGTTGCCAGCCCCCCCCTTTGCCCTCCTGATAAGCTGCAATAAAGGACATTGTGTCAAGGATTGGAAAGGCTATTAATTAGAAGACTATTTCTCAACCTTGATCCCTTCACGAGGGGTGGACTTCAACTCCCAGAATTCCCCAGCCAGCTATGCTGAGGGGAAAGGGAGAGAGTTCCAAGCTGAGCCATGCTGGCTCAGGAATTCTGGGAGCTGAAGTCCACCAGTCATAAAAGAGCCACGGTTGCCTACCCCGACGTCAAGAGCAGGTTGAACCATCCTTACCTTCAAATGGACATAATCGTACTCGTCAGCCAGACGGATCCCCTCGTATTCATTGTGGACGTCGTCCCTGGCTTGGTCCAGCGGCTCCCCTGCCCCGAGACCCCCCAGCCGGGGCGGAGGGGGAGGCAGCGGCCGGTCCTGGATACTGCCCTTCCGCACGATGCTGGGCGACGGAGGTGGAGGCTCTCCAGAAAGCCGCTCCTCGCTCGGAAGAGCGGGCAGCGGACGGCGGGATAGGCTCTCCGCGGACGGTAGCCGGGGGCGAGTGGGGGGTCCTGAGTCCCTTAGGTTGAGTCCTTGGAGGGTTCCCTCCAAAGGTGGGGTGCTGGGCGTCAGCAGAGGAACGTCATAAATGGCCCCATCTTCCTCTTCCTCCTCTCCCTCCTTTCCTCCTGCCCGGAGGTCTTCGGGAGACTCGTACAAGTTAAGCAAGGCTGAAGCCCGGCGTAAATTAGACGGGATGGCGTAGATCAGGGGCCCTTCGCAACTTCCTTCGTCCTCTTCTTCCTCCTCTTGGGAAAGAGCCTTTTTGAAAGCGAGGGGCACGTCGTAGGCCTCGTCCACGTTTGGAGGGGCGCTGGGTTGGGGGGCTACTCGGGCGACTTTTTTGACCCGTGGGGCGGGAGAATCGTACGTGTCCAAAACCACGTCCCGGAGCAAAGACGAGGGTACATCATAAACCTGCGAGCAGAGAAAAAAGGATAAAGAGGAAGAGTTCCCAAATTGAAGCATGTTTTGGGGTCAGGCATCAAGCTAGGCCATAAATTAGTTTGGCTGGGTGAATCCAGTTATTAACCATAGTTTACATCTGAGTGCCTTTGGACCACGCAACGTGGCTTGATCAGGAGTGGAGAGCTCAGCATGGATGATAAACACAGTCACTGTGATTGTAAACTGCAGTTTATGGCTTAGCTTGATATAGGATCCCTACTTTAGTGGTTTAGTCTATGTACCATGGTTAAAACAAACCATGGCTTACATTGTACATCAAGATGTCAAACTAGGGCCCTTGAAAGTGTGTGGACTTCAATTCCCAGAATTCCATGGCTGGAGAATGAGGCCTTTAGGACAGTGTTTTTCAACCTTGGCCCCTTTGAAGATGGGTGGACTTCAACTCCCAGAATTCCCATGGCTGGCTTTGCGGCCTTTAGGACAGTGTTTCCCAACCTTGGCCCCCTGAAGATGTGTCTGGCTAGGGAACTCTGGGAATTGAAGTCCACACATCATCAACTAGTGAGGTTGAGAAACACTCAGATAGAGGATAAAAACCATAATGGACACATTCAGCTAAAACATTTTTCCCTATTCTCATGCTTCTAACCAGCCTTTCAACGAAAGATCCACATATATTTTGATTCCCCCCCCCCGTTCCATCTCTTTCCCCTGGAAAAATTAGGAATAAAGATCAAAGCCTCTTCTACTGGAAGTTTTTAAGAAGAGACTGGGCAGCCATTTGTCTGAAATGGTGTAGGGTTTCCTGCCTGAGCAGGGGGTTGGACTAGATGACCTCCAACTTTATTATTATTATTATTATTATTATGGATCATCGCAGTCAGCCAGATGTTCAGACTGGATTTGGCATTTTGTCTACCTATCGAGTCCTTCCCAAGGACCTGAAATAGGCAGAGGTGGATGTTTGATGGTATTACAGATATCGTCGCAGGATGGAAGCAGTTCCTAGTAAGGCCGCCTTTTGCAATTGACTAATAGCGAATTTGTCAATGTCAATATTATTATTATTATTATTATTATTTTATTATAAATTTTTACAATAAAAACCCCTTCCCCGATCCCTCCCAACCCTCCCCAAAACCCTCCCCCATTCTTCCCAGAGCTGAATACAGGGTTAACTATAACTTATAAGAAAAAACTTTTAAACCCAAATAAACCTCAAGCAAGTATAATCACATTCAGTAAACAAATTATTAAATACTTTAACTCCATTATATATAAAAAAAACAGAAAGAGAAAAAGAAGAAAATAAAAAATAATAATAAAAAAAACAAAAACAAAACTATTCTACACTTCTAAATAATATCTTAAACTTTAAATATAAATTATTCAAAAGCTAAATGATATTTTCTTACATCATACTTATATTATTATTATTATTATTATTATTATTATTATTATTATTATTATTATTATTATTACTTCACCTTCATCCCGCTAGTTTTCTACCTAGGGGACTTTTTAAAAAAACATTTGAGCAGAAACTTTCAAGCATCTTCCAGAACACCTCAGCTTACGACCACAAGGGAGCCCCAACTTTCTGGCGTTAAGCAAGACAGCTATTGTGTGAATTTTGCTGCCTTTTTAAATCTTTCTCGCCACAATTGTCAATGAATCACTGCAGGTTTTAAGTTACTAAAATGGTTGTTAAGAGAAACTGGCTCCCCCCCCCCATCGACGTTGCTTGTCAGAAAGTCGCAAAAGGAGAATCAAGTACATGCCAATTTCCAAGTGTCTGAATTTTAATCACGTGAGCCTGGGGATGCTGCAAACAGCCATGAGTGTGAAAAAACAGTCGTAAATCCCTTTTTTTCAGGGCCCTTCACTAAACAGAATGGTTCTTACGTTGAAGATTATCTGTACTGCTTGCTGACGCATCTATTGTAGCCTCTTTGATGACCATCTTGGTTTGTTTGACCAGACTTGACTTCTGGCCTAATCTGGATGGCCCTGTGGCGTTGACCGATATCCCCAGCTTCCAAAGACACCAGGGACGCTCCCGAAATGACAGTCTAGCCTTGCTTTTTAAACCTCACCAGCTGCTCCTCTGGCATTCTCACCTGTCCTTCCCACCCGTGTGTTTCTCCATCTAAGGCAAATGTTGGCTTGGCTGGAGAAGGGGAAAGGGCCCCTTTGCAGGCAGCTGTCTCTTTGTAAGGGGCTCAGATCCAATTACTCTGGGTGGCAGGACAGGCGTAAAATTTAATCCAACAGGCGCGGCCAGTTGTCCTTCCAGCCTGGAGGCTTTGTCCAGCCGCCGGCGGGCACCCCATCCGATTGGCAACTTGCGCAGCGATCAGATATATTTTGATAAGCTAATAAAAACGTGGCAATTACAATGCTTTTGCTTCTCATCCAGGAAACTACTGCAGTTCTGTTCTGCTTCCAACCCAGCTGAGGTTTTTGACTCCCAGCGTCAGATTTAGAAGAGAAACCAGCTGGGACACCGGACAGGAGGCAAAATAATAAATAAGTAAAATAAGAATAAAATAACGCAGCAAAAATGACTGGGAACTGAATTGGCAAAAGTCTTAAAAAGGAGCAAGTCAAGATCCTGCGATGCTTTCAGATCCAAACAGGCAGACATATGGCCCACATTAGGCCTGAAGTGACTATTGTGGCAAAGAAAAAAAAAAGGCTGGCTCTTTGTTACTGCGATACCAGGGGATGCACGAATGGAAGAGAAACAAGGAAAAAAATAAAATAAAATATCGTGATTTGCAAATTGAAGTTGAGCGACTATGGAGATAAAAAATCAATGGTTATAGCAACAGGAGCCCTTGGAGCAATTCCCAAAGGGCTGCCGAGATATATGGAAATGTTGGACTTATTGGACCTGAATATTCTGATTTTGCAAAACAAAACAAAACAAAAAAACCCCACCTTACTTGGAACTGCCTATATATTCAGACGCTACTTTAACAGCTCTTAGGTCCTTGGTTAGAACTTGAACTGTTAAGTTTTTTACCAGTCCCAGATTGTAAATCGAATTGAAGATTAACCATAATAAAATAAAATATAAAATATAATAAGAATATTAGAATGGAATAGAATAGAATACAGTACAATAGAATAGAGTAGAATAGAATAGAAAATATAGCATAGATTAGAATAGAAAATATAGAATAAAATAGAGTACAATAGAATAGAATAGAAAATATAGCATAGATTAGAATAGAAAATATAGAATAGAATAGAGTACAATAGAATAGAAAATATAGCATAGATTAGAATAGAATAGAAAATATAGAATACACAATATAGAATAGAATAGAGTAAAATAGAATAGAAAATATAACATAGATTAGAATAGAAAATATAGAATAGAATAGAGTACAATAGAATAGAATAGGAAATATAGATAGATTAGAATAGAAAATATAGAATAGAATAGAGTACAATATAATAGAATAGAAAATACAGCATAGATTAGAATAGAATAAAAAATATAGAATACAAAATATAGAATAGAGTAAAATAGAATAGAAAATATAGCATAGATTAGAATAGAAAATATAGAATAGAATAGAGTACAATAGAATAGAAAATATACCATAGATTAGAATAAAAAATATAGAATAGAAAATATAGCATAGATTAGAATAGAAAATATAGAATAGAATAGAAAATATAGAATAAAATAGAATAGAATAGAATAGAATAATAATGACGCTGGTCATACCATCTGGGTTGATACAGCTAAGTCCTTGACTTACAACAGTTCATTTAGTGACTGTTTGAAGCCACAATCACACTGAAAAAAGTGACTAAGGATCGTTTTTCACACTTACGACCGTTGCAGCATCCCCGTGGTCACGAGATCAAAATTCGGACGCTTGGCAATTGACTCACATTTATGACGGTTGCAGTGACCCGGGGATCCCGTGATCCCCTTCTGCGTCCTTCTAACAAGCAGTGCGAAAGCCAGATTCGCTTAACCACCGTGCGACTCCCTTAACAACGGCAATGATCCACTTAACAACTGTGGCAAGAAAAGGCCAAGATTGGAGAAGGCTGGAGCCAACTACGGCTGCCCACGAAAACCGGCCATCTTCTCATTTGTCTTATTCTCTCAAAGTACCTCCACAGAGTCTTCTTCTCTTCTGGTACCCCGAGGCACCCTGTAGATGCCCTCTGGGGGCAGCGGGCAGGGCCGGGCGGGCGGCGGTATCTCATACACCTGGGGGTGGAAGGAAAAGACAAGGAGAAACCAGGAATCAGGATTGGGAGAGACGCAGCAGATCCCTGGCGCTCATATCTGAGATAGGTTCGCCCAACGTTCCTGGGTTAAAAAAAAGGGATGGAGAGTTCACGGTTGAGTGTGGTGGTGGTGGTGGGGAGACCAGCTTTCATCATGGTGGGTTGGGTGACCCATCCCATATCCTCCAAGTGGACCTCAAAAATAGAGAAGATTTGGGTAAGCAGTTGAGGGGATTTAGAGCAGTGGTTCTCCACCTGTGGGTCGGGACCCCATTTGGGGTCGAACGACTATTTCACGGGGGTCGCCAAACAACGCAGTCCGCCATTTTTTTCCCCCTTTTCCTTAGCTGTGCTACTCCCTTTGATTCTATTGGCTTTTGAAAGCCAATAGAATAGACTCTCTTGAATAGAGTCTAATTCTACTGGCTTTCAAAAGCCAACAGGAATTGTCCAGGCTGTCTCTGCCCTGCTGAGCCCGCCAAAAGTCCCCTTCTGCAAACGGGGCTGCACCAGTTGAGTAGTCCTCGACTTACAACCGGTTGAGCAGTCCTCGACTTACGACCGGTGGGGGGGGTCGCGGCATTAAAAAGGTTGAGAACCACTGATTTAGATGGTCAAAGGGTTCCTCCTCAAGATCTGTTCTAGTAGGCACCCTTCTCCAGCCTGGGGCCTTGAAAAGAGGGTGGAGCCCCATTCCCATCATCCACACCCAGCTAAAATGGGGAGACATCTCAACGTATCTAGACGTTGACAGGCTGCTAAACTCTGCTCTGGGGGAAAAGGGGAGACGTTGAAGTCCAGTTTTGGTGTCTTGGTTAGAAGTTTGAGAAGGTGGAAGAGGAGTCTCTGTGGCTATTCAGTGTCATCCAAGGTGGCATCATGGAGAGGAACAAGCAGGAGAGGACTTCCAGGTCCTGCTCACCTCCTGTTCTTCTTTCCTTTGTTCTCTTCTTCTCCACTCGTCTACGGCTCCGTCTGAGACCCTTCCCACCAGAAGACCGTCCTTCTTCGGCACCTGGTAGACCTCTGCAGAGGTGTGGTTTGGGTGAGATCCCGGCTCAGGGAGGACCTTAACCCTGTTGGCTGGCACGATCCCTTGTTGGCCGTGCAATGAACACAAATGCCAGCCTTCCAGGCCGATCCCTTCTGGCTGGAGAAGGACCATGAGGTCCCCCTTGTGGAACGAGAGTTCATCCGGACACTCGGCTGTGTTGTCGTACAGAGCGCGACACAACTGCGCCTGTGGACGAAAAAACAAAGTGGAGACACAAGGCTCAAGTTCACACTTTCCAAAACTCAGCTTTAAGCTGTGCTCTCCAGACTACAATACCCAGAATTCTTAAGAAAGCAGGTCTCAGAATTCCCAGACTACAACGCCCAGGATTCCCAGACTACGACTCCCAGAATTCCTAGCCCACCTGGCTGGGTAAGTTACCCACAAGCAAGATGCTGAAAGGAGCTTTTTACAACACAAGGTGGGAACCAAGAGCGGTCAATTTTAATGGTTGTCTTTACAAGCATCTGCCCTTCCGTAACAAGCAGTCCTTGTTTAGCGACTGCCTCACTTAGCGACCGTTTGCGGTTACAATGGTGATGGAAAAGGAACTTTGCGAACAGCCCTTGCATTTACGACCTTTGCAGGTCTGTAAAGCAAAGAAAGCTGAGCGGAGATTGCAAACATCGCATTTCACTTAGTGTCCAACAACCAAGTTGCCCAACTATGGTCGCTAAATGAGGACTATCTGTATATTAAAACTGCCCTAGGCTTCTGTGCTAGATTTCTACTTAATGGGGATTTTTAATATATATATATACGTATGAGAAAGATTATTATATCACATAAAACATATAAGGAACGGTTGCTAGAATTGGGTATGTCTAGTTTAACGAAGAGAAGGACGAGGGGGGACATGATAGCAGTATTCCAGTATCTCAGGGGCTGCCATAAAGAAGAGGGAGTCAAGCTATTCTCCAAAGCACCTGAAGGCAGGACAAGAAGCAAGGGGTGGAAACAGATCAAGGAGAGAAGCAACCTGGAACTAAGGAGAAACTTCCTGACAGTGAGAACAATTAATCAGTGGAACAACCTGCCTCCAGAAGTTGTGAATGCTCCAACACTGGAAGTTTTTAAGAAGAGACTGGACAGCCATTTGTCCGAAATGGTGTAGGGTTTCCTGCCTCAGCAGGGGGTTGGACTAGATGACCTCCAAGGTCCCTTCCAACTTTACTACTATTATTATAAAGTTACATAGGCATTTCTTACAACTACAACTCCCATCGTGCTCGGCTACTCTACCTTCTCCAACTGCATCCTGCAGATGTGTTGAGCAGCCACCCCATCATCCTGTTCCCTGGAAGCTGAAGCAGCTTTGCAAACATCTGATTGAGAGCTGAGGCCAAAGGACTGCAAATTTGCTCTCCCCGCACATAGAAAACTAGTGCCTCAGGGACAATGTTAGCTCTTCACTGGCAGAGAGTTTTGAACGGGCCTTAATCCAGCCATCTCCCCTTCCCTGATATTCTGAATGGGCTCTACCCACTAGGGATGACCCCTGGTCTTCCTTAAGGCTGCACCAATAAGCTGCATTTTTAAATGCAAGCACATCCATGCTTGAATTCCCTCGAAAAATAGCAAGGAGGAGTCAAAAGACTTCCGGCTGGGAAGTTTGCCCAAAAATTGGGAACAGGATGAACCAGGACAAGCTCTGGCATTGCTCGGCATCCTTTTATAAACAGTTGCTGAGTTTTGCAACCGAAACTTTTGTTTTTCACCGAAAACCCAGTTTCTAAGCATTTCCCGGACTAATCAGCAATAGAACTAGTCCTTGACTTACAAAAGCTTGCTTAGCGACCATCCGAAGTTACAACGGCACTGAGAAAAGGGACTTAAGAGTCCTTTTTCACACTTACGATCCGTTGCGGCCTCCCCCGTGGTCACGTGATTTACGTTTGGATGCTTGAAAACCGACTCAGTTATGACGCCCTAAATTTCTGTATCTGCGAAGGGAAACGTTTTGTTAAGTGACTTTGGCCCCGTTTTACGGCCTTCCTTGCCTCAGTTGTTAAGTGAATCACTGCAGTTGTTAAATTAGTAACACGGTTCTTAAGCGAATCGGGCATCTCCATTGTCTTCGCTTGTTAGCAGGTCGCAAAAGGGGATCACATGATCCCGGGACGCTGCCACCGTCATAAATATGAGTCAGTTGCCCGACGTCTGAAGTTGGACCACATAACCATGAGGCTGCAATGGTCGTAAGTGTGAAAAAAGACCTTAAGTCACTTTTTTCATCGCTGCTGTAATTTTGAATGGTCACTAAAGAAATTGTTGTAAGGCCAGCACTAGCTGTATTTCCCTATGAGGCCTGGCTGCCATATTGTCTAACCTAGTTACACTTAATGGCGACCCAGTTTCTTTTCCATTTACAGAGACCCTGTTGGCTCAAAGCACTGGCAGATCCCACCCCAATCCTCTTCCTTGCCAGTTAAACCTCCATGGCTCAGCCTCAAACTTGAGATAGTCCTCGGCTTACAACCACAGTTGAGCCCAACATTTCTGTTGCTAAGCGAGACCGTTGTTAAGTGAATTCTGCCCCATTTTATGCTCTTTCTTGCCACAGTTGTTGAGAGAACCACTATAGCCAAGTGTGATTACATACACAACAGGAAGAAAGGGAGGGAGGGAGGGAGGGAGGGAGGGAAGGAAAGAAAGAAAGAAAGAAAGAAAGAAAGAAAGAAAGAAAGAAAGAAAGAACTTTTATTTGGCCAAGTGTGATTACATATACAACAGGAAGGAAGGGAGGGAGGGAGGGAGAAGGAAGGAAATGGGAATGAGGAGAAGGAAGAAAGGAAATGGGAAGAAAAGAAAGAAGGAAGGAAATGGGAAGGAAGGAAGATGGGAATGAGAAGAAAGTTGTTAAGTGAGTTTTGCCCCACTTTACGACCTTTCTTGCCACAGTTGTTAAGTAAATCACTGCATTGACTTTGCTGGTCAGAAGGTCGCAAAAGGGGATCACGTGACTCTCGGGACACTGCAACCGTCGTAAATACGAGTCACTTGCCAAGTGTCTTGAATTTTTATCATATGACCTTGGGGATGCTGCAACGGTCGTTAAGTGTGAAAAAAAGTCATAAGTTATTTTTTCAGCGCCGTTGTAACTTTGAACGGTCGCTAAATGAACCGTTGTAACTTGAGGACTAGCAATATTTCCCTATTCCCCCCCCTAGCCTTTGTTTAGCCATCAGAGCATCCTACAAACGCTGCAATAATCAGGTTAAAATATAATATACATCTTGAGCAATAATCTTTTTTTGATGAGGTGATGGCGGAAAAGCTGATGATGGTATCTTGGCGGACAAGGAGAAAAGCAAAATCATCTGCCTGGGTGTTGACAAGATAAAATTTAGCCAGAAATTATGTCATTTGGGGGAGTTTAAGACACAGCCCTTCGCCAGAAAGCCGAAAGTTGACGAATGTCGGGGAGCCCAAATTTTACATTAGTTATGGGAAATATTATCTCATCAACGGATCATCGAAATGGGGCCTAACTTTTCACCTCAGAAAAGCTGCCATATTCTTCAGATTGGCGAGGGGAACCCGCTCTTAAGTGTGACAAGGGACTCTGAAACCCATAAGCCACTCGATTTCCCTCGACAGGTAGTCCTCGACGTACGACCACAATGGAGCCCAACATTTCTGCCGCTAAGTGAGACATTCGTTAAGTGGGTGTTCGGCCCCATTTTGCGACTTTTCTTGCCACAGTTTGTTAAAGGGAATGGCTGCAGTTGTTAGTCACACGGTTGTTAAGTGAATCCGGCTTCCCCCCCCCCGACTTTGATTGTCAGAAGGTCGCAAAAGGGGATCGCGTGACCCCGGGACACTGCAACCGTCGTAAGTACATGCCAGTTGCTAAGTGTCTAAATTTGGATCACGTGACCGTAATGGTCATAAGTGGGGAAAAACGCTCCTAAGTCGCTTTTTTTCAGTGCTGTTGTAACTTGGAGCGCTCTCTAAGCAAATTGTTGTCAGTCAAGGACTACCTGTAGTTAGCCAAAACACACAAAAAGTGCTTTCCAAGAAAATCTGAAGCTAAAAAGCTTTCACCTCCAGCAAAACCACTCAGGTAAAACCCTAGCTGCAAAGGAAGGCCTGTTTTTTTGGTGTGTGTGTGTGTGTGTGTGTGTGGAATTAAAAGTATTTTGATTTGCAAAAGTATTCAGGAGAGCATTGTGTTCCTCTCTCCCCCCCCCCAATAGCTTTTTCTGCGCCCCTCTTTGTCAACCAAAGTCAACACGACATCAAAGCCTTCCCCACCACTTATCCATTTCTAGATAATAAGGAGGCCCAAATAACCTTGGAATGCAAATATTTTCACTAAGGTCAAAATTGTTCTCAATCCTGTTTTACTACAAACTGTAGTCAGGGTAGATTTTTCTTTTTTTCTTTCTTTCTCTCCCTTTCTTTTTCTTTCTTTCTTTAAATCTTTCTTTCTCCCTCTCTTTGGTTCTCTCTCTCCCTCCCTTCCTTTCTTTTTCTTTCTTTAAATCTTTCTTTCTCTCTCTCTTTGGTTCTCTCTCTCCCTCCCTTCCCTTCTTTCTCACCCTTTTTTTCTTTAAATCTTTTTCTCTTTCTTTCTCCCTCCCTCCCTTTTTCTTTTCCTCCCTTCCTTAATTTTCATTTATTCTTTCCTTCCTTTGTCCCTCCCTCCCTTTTCTTTCCCCTGCTTTCCTTTTTTTCCCTTCCTTCCTTGACACATTCATTCATTCTTTCCTCCTTCTTTACCCTTTGTTTTCATTTTATCCCTCCCTTTTGCTTTTCTCTTTTCTTTGTTTCTTTGCTTGATTCTTTCTTTCTTTCTTTACTTTTCTCTCTCCCTGGCTTCCCCTTTCTTCCATTCTATCTTCCTTCCTTTTCTTTTTCTTTCTTTCTTTCTCTCTCCCTCCCTTCTTTCTCTCTCCCTTTCTTCTTTCTTTCTCTCCCTTCCTTTTTTTCTTTCTCTCTCCCTTCCTTCTTTTTCTTTTTCTCTCTCCCTTCCTTCTTCCTTTCTTTCTCTCCCTTCCTTGATTCATTCACTTGTTCTTTCCTTCCTTCTTTCTTTCCTTTTTCTTTTTGTCCCTTCCTCCTGATCCTTTTTCTTTTTTCCCTTCCTTCCTTCTCATTCATTCTTTCCTCCTTCCTCTTTCATTTCTTTTTTCTGTTTTTTAATTTATCCTTCCCTTTCTTCCTTTCTCTTGCTCTTTCCTCTTCTTTCTTTCTTTTTTCTTTCTTTCCTTTCTTTTCTCTTTTCTTTCTCTTTTCTTTTCTTTCTCTCCTACTTACACTTGTAGACATGTTGGCCCTCCAACATCAAACAAAGGAATCGGAAGGCCTGAACAGCTTCAGCAGACCAGAATGACACCTTAATATATTAAGACTCTTGAAAAAATAAAGCCAGCCTTTAGAAGCATTCTTCTCTTTTGCTCTGTACGTTGTGGCCGGAGGGAGAACAACAACATACAGAAAAAGAAAAAAAAAATCCTGAGAAATTCAAAATTGATTTTTCGTCATCTTAAAGAGGCCAACAAACCGCAAACATAGAAGCTATAACTCTCTAAAGAATCCTTGGCAAACTGGTTCCTGATGAATATTCCAATGCAAAGTGGGGGAGGGGGAGGGAGAAATTCTTTAAATAAAATCAGTAGTTCCTATATTTTTTGTGTGCAGTGAATGTGGTTCTTCCTCAGAAGTTCTGCCAGTTGCAATTTGCAATTCCCTATGATTATTTCCCCAGCAGTTTTTCTGAGGTTTTCCAAATCTCTGGGTCAGCAAAATTAGCCCAGGAAAGCGACTTGAGTAACTCTGGTTGCTTCCAGGCCAAAAAGCTTGAGCGAAAGAAGACAAGCTGGAACACAGATCTGTGCAGCGAGCAGAAAGTGGAAAAGCAGCCCAGAGACATTTACAGTTCTTCCTTCCAAAGCTTGTAAAAACCGGAATAAGGAGAACAGTCAGATTTTGCAATGTCATGGAATCCAACAAAAGAAATCAGAAGTTTTTCCTTTTGGCAACAAACAGGCCCAAATTACCAACAGTTCGTGGAATCACATCTGCTCGCAAACTTTTGCTCTTGAATCCATGTGTATAAATATATATCTATATTTTAAAAGAGCCAGTTCAGAAATTTCTTCAAAAATATTCAGCAAGCAGCTTTTATTGTTTTCCTGAGAACAAGCAAGATTCACCAGCAGTTATCTTTAACATTTTGCAATTTTCCTCCGCTCCTCTGCTTTGTTCAATATTGAGGTTTTGAGTTAAACTTTCACCAGATTCCGAAAAGAGCTGGCATCGACCCAGCTCAAAAAAAATTCCAATTCGCCCACAAATCCGACATGTATTTCCAACGAGGAGGATCGGCAAAAGCAACTCCAGGGATTTTGATGCATTTCCAAATAAACGTAATCTCCTTCCAGAACAGCGAACTCCTTTCTCCCTACAAGGCTGAAGAGTGAGGTTCTAAATCCAGATAATTTTAATTTCAAGGGAGGTCTCCTGCTCCCCGAATCCCCACCAAAAAATCCTTGGCAAACTTTGAGGATTGCCAGATAATCTTGCATGTCATTCTTCCAATCGAAACCCAGGCGGGAATGTCCAGCGTCAGCAGGAGCAGATTGCGAAAATCCAGATATTTTGTTCTTTGTTGGGCCAAATATTTATTCCAGAATGACAGTCAGAGGCAGGGAGGAGTTTTATGCAAATTTCCCCAAATTCCTAAAGGTTATGGAAGAGAACCTGTTCCCGGGCTGAGGGTGGCAGCATCAAATTCCACGGTGTCCCCCCCTCTTGGTCACCTGCTGAGCACAAAATACAAAGAGTTATTGTAAGGATTTGTTTCCAGCCTTAACTTAAAGAAAGTGACTTTCCCAAAGCCCTTTGGATCAAACCCAAAGGGAGATTTCTTGCATTCTGGAGGAAGGTTAAAAAGTATTTATGTATTTGTTTCTTTCTTTTTCTTTCTTTCCCTTCCTTCCCTGCTTCTTCTTTCCTTCCTCCTTCTGACTTTCTTCCTGCCTTCCTCTTTCCCTTCCCTCTTTCCTTTTTTCTTCCTTCCTTCCTCTTCTCTTTCCTTTCCTACCATCCTTCCTTCCTCTCTTTTTCTTCCTTCCTTCCTCCCCCGTCCCTTTCTCTCATTCCCATCTTTTCTTCCTTCTTCCTCTCTCTTCCTTCCTTCCCTTTTCTTAACTCCTTCCCTGTCTTTCCTTTTTCTTTCTTTCCTCCCGTTCTCTTTTCCTCCTTTCTTATTTCCTTTCCCTCCCTCCCTTCCTTTCTTTCCTTCTTTTTTCTTCCTTCTTTCCTCCCCTTCCCTTTTCCTTTCCTTCCTTTCTTCTGTCCGTCCTTCTCCCTCTACCTCTCCTTCCCTTTCTTTCCTTCTTTTTTATTCCTTCTTTCTTCCCCTCCTTTTCCTTCCTTCCTCTCATTTATTTCCTTTCCTTCCTTTCTTCTGTCCTCCCTCCTCCCTCTACCTTTCCCTCCCTCCCTCCCTCTTTCTTTCTTTCTTTCTTTCTTTCTTTCCTTCCTTCTTTCCTCTTCTCCCCTTTTCCTTCCTTCCTCTTTATTTCCTTTCCTTCCTTTCTTCTGTCCTTCCTCCTCCCTCCCTCCCTCTTTTTCTTTCTTTCCTTCTTTCTTTCCTTTTTCTTCTTTCTTTCTTTCCTTCCTTCTTTCCTCTTCTCCCCTTTTCCTTCCTTCCTCTTTATTTCCTTTCCTTCTTTTCTTCTGTCCTCCCTCCTCCCTCTATCTTTCCCTCCCTCCCTCCCTCCCTCTTTCTTTCTTTCTTTCTTTCTTTCTTTCCTTTTTCTTCTTTCTTTCTTTCCTTCCTTCTTTCCTCTTCTCCCCTTTTCCTTCCTTCCTCTTTATTTCCTTTCCTTCCTTTCTTCTGTCCTTCCTCCTCCCTCCCTCCCTCCCTCTTTTTCTTTCTTTCCTTCTTTCTTTCCTTCCCTCCCCTTTTCCTTCCTTCCTCTTGTCTATTTCCTTTCCTTCCTTTCTTCTGTCCTTCCTCCTCCCTCTTTCTTTCTTTCTTTCTTTCTTTCTTTCTTTCTTTCTTTCTTTCTTTCTTTCTTTCTTTCCTTCCTTTCTTTCTTCTTCCTCACTCCCACTCTCTCTCTCTCTCTCTCTCTCACCCTCCCTCCCTCCCTCGGACACCTTAAGAGCTGTTCCCCAAACTTGTTATTCCCCCCCCCTTCCCCAGAGCAGAGAGTTCCGCGAGGCCGCCCCCCTCCCCCCGTTCTCCGGGGCGCCCTTCCAAAGCCGAGCAGCCCCCTCCCCAACACCCCCCCAGCCCCCCACCCCCGTCGGCCCAGCTGCCTTTCGCCTCTCCGGGCCCCCGGGCCGGAGCATCGGAGCATCCGAGCCTCCGCGGCGCCGCATCCCGACTCAGCAATTTCCCCAGCCGGGCTCCCACTTGGCCCGGGCGACGCGTGGCTGGCTGGCCGGCTGGGCGGCCCCTGGGTGGGGAAAGCGGGGGGCGAGCAGGCAGGGGCAAATCCCCCCCCCGCCCAACCCCACTCCCGGGTGGGAAGGCACCACGCGGAAAAGAGGAAGAAGAAGCCGGCAATCGGTGTGTGTGTGGGGGGGGGGGAGAAGCGGATCTAGAGGAGAAAAAGAAGATGCGTCCGGGGAGGAAGGGGCAGAAAAGGGGGGGGTCGGGCTGGGGGGGACCCCCAAACCTTCCAAGTCCTCCCTCCCCTCTTCCTCCCCTCTCCACCTCCGCCCCCCCCCAATCCAGGCCAATTGATGCTTACTTGGCCAGCCTTGCCGACGCGCCCCCCGCGGGCGCCCTCCTCGCCTCCACCCCGGCTGCCAAGTCGGCGGCTGAGCCTCTTCTGCGCCGGCGCTCCTCCTCCTCCCCTCCTCCTCCCCCCCCCTCCTTGGAGAGGGGTTTGCTCCTTTGACGTCTCCCCCCTCCCCCGTCTCCCCCCTCCCCTCCCGCTCCTCCTCCTCCTCCTGCCGCAATCGGTGCCCACTTTGGGGGTCCCCCCCAGCCCCCCCCTTTTCCAAGGGATCCCTCCGGCTCTGCAGCGCCCGGGGGAGGGGTGGGGAAGGGCAGGCGCTGGGGCTGGGGCTGGCCGGCGCCCAAGACCCCCCCCCTCCGTCTCCCTCCAGCCACCCGACCCCCCCCCCCGTCTCTTTCCCCGGGCACACACGTCGCTGCTTGTCGTCTGCCTCTCTTCCAACTCCTGGGTCCTAAACAGCCTCTGCGAGCCGGGATTTGGGGAAAGGGTGTGTGTGTGTGTGTGTGTGCGGGGGAGGGGGGATCCGAGAAACGCCAAGCGCTCCCCGCTCCAATCCCTCGGGCCTCCGCCCGTCCCCACCCCGCCGCCCGAAGCGGTCCTGCCGGGCTGGACTGAGCGGGGAGCTGGGAAAGAGCGTCTTGAGGACTAGCGCCACGGGCAGCTCAGCAGAAGCTTCCCCCCCCCGCCCCCAAGCCGGCGGAAAGGCAGTGTTCCTTCCCCGGGTGTTGCGGGAGGTATGGTCCGGTTTCTCCCCCCGCTGGGTTTAATTCCTGCATCCCGCTGGATTCAAGGGGTCCGGGAGGGTCTTCTGGATTGGGGGGGAGGGTCGTTTGTGGCGGGCAGAGGGCAAAAGAGAGAGGGGGGAAGGAAGGAGAAACGGAAGAAAGGAAGGAAGAAGAAAGAAAGAAAGAAAGAAAGAAAGAAAGAAAGAAAGAAAGAAAGAAAGAAAGAAAGAAAGAAAGAAAGAAAGAAAGAAAGAACTTTTATTTGGCCAAGTGTGATTACATACACAACAGGAAGGAAGGAAGGAAGGAAGGAAGGAAGGAAGGAAGGAAGGAAGGAAGGAAGGAAGGAAGGAAATGGGAATGAGGAGAAGGAAGGAAAGAAGGAAGGAAATGGGAATGAGGAGAAGGAAGTGGGAAGGAAAGAAGGAAGGAAATGGGGAGGAAGGAAGGAAACAAAGACTTTCATCCATTCTCCCAACTCCAAAGTTGAGATTTTAAATTGCGTCTGGAAATCTGCCTTTCCCCCTTCTGTATCTCTGTATCAGCCAGCAGGCAGCTATCCAACTAGTAGATTTCTCTCTCTACCCACCCGCCATCAGTCACCTTGGCCCACCCTAACTTTTTGCATAAACACAACAATGTGAAACCACAGCTGCCAGCTCCTTACTGGGGTTGACCTTTATTCGCATCCAGTTCTTCCTAAGAACCAAAAGCGTCTTTAAAAAGAGATATCCAATTTTGGCTACTTTAAGACCAGTGGACTTCAACTCCCAGAATTCCCCTTGGCTGGCGGGAGAATTCTGGGAGTTGAATTCCACAGGTCTTAAAGTGGCCAAGGTTGGACACACCTGTCCTGCAGATGCAAGCCGTGTGGCCTTTTGTAATTGACCAATGGAAAAGTTATCAATGTCTAGATTTTTCAGCTGACACTCCAAGACTTTTTAATAGGATGCCCAATCTGCCAATAACCATTGGAAGCCCCGCCCTCCTGGCTGATTTACGCCAATCCTTTCATTTCAATGTTCAGATTTTCTTACTTTGTAATTTCTCCAATATTTTTATTCTTCTATTCTATAATTTCCCCTGGTATCTCCATACCAACAAAACCATAGTTCCCTTTTTTTCAACCAGTGCTAAATCTGGTCTGTTGTGTGCCAAGACTTTGGGAAATCCCAATTTAAATATTTCAAATTGCCCATTTTCTATGGTGTTTAATAAATAAAATGAATAAAATAAATAAATAAAGAAAGAAAGAAAGAAAGAAAGAAAGAAAGAAAGAGAAAGAAAGAAAGAAAGAAAGAAAGAAAGAAAGAAAGAAAGAAAGAAAGATTCTCAGTGAATACGAAGGGGCAAAACCTTCCTATAAAAACATCTTACCTGTTTTGCCTTTTGTACCAGCAACAACATTTATAAGATTATGGGAAGATTATTTGATTCAACAAAGCATATTGAACAGGAAAGACGTTTGGCAAAAAAAAAAAAAAAAGGCAAAAGTGAGAATTAAGAAATTAGATGATGAGAATTACCAGAGGGAATATTTAAAAATTAAACATCTGTTTGAATATGGTTAAAGAAATAGAAAGATTTTGAATATAAATGAAGATTAGTTTAAGAAGGATGAGCCCCTCAAGTAACATACATAGTATATTTTCTTTCTTTTTTCTTTTATGTTTGGTTTTTTGACATGAGAAATATAAAAATGTTGGGATGATTTATATAAAAGAAATGTTTTCTCTGTTGTTTTTTTTTCTTTTTTCTTATTTTTGTTTTAAGGTATGAGAAATGTAAAAATGTGATGGCTTGTATGAGAAAGAAGACTTAAATACTTAAGCGTAACTAATTTTGAGAAAATCTTAACCAGTAAGAATGCTTTGAATATTGTGGGGAAAACAAATTTAAATAAGAATTTGGTAAACAGGGTCTATGACAGGCAATCAAGACGATCGATTAGAAAAGATGTGGCTATTATTTGCAGAAACATGAGAAAAATGTCTATATTTAATTGTCATTTATTCAAATAACAACTATTAATTTAAGGTTGGCAAAAGAGTATTATTAGGAAAAGAGAAAATCAAGTAAAGCTACTACAGAATTATAGAAATTAATTGTTATTGTTTTTTAAACACTCTCAGACAACACGTTGCTTACCAAATATTAAGGTGATTATGTTAAAAATCAATGAAACATATTTAAAAAAAAAGAATTCATACATTTGGTGATTGACTCATATTTACGACGGTTGTAGTGTCCCAGGGTCATATGATCTTTGCTTCTTTGCACTATTATTATTATTATTGTTATTATTGAACCATTGCCCAGTCAGCCAGATGTTCAGACTGGATTTGGCATATTATTATTATTATTGTTGTTGTTGTTGTTACTAAAACTACTCTACTACTACTACTACTACTACTACTACTACTACTACTACTACTACTACTACTACTACTACTACTGGAAGCCCAACCTGATCAATTTCCAATAAAGCAGCTGGATTGCAGGGGATTAATTATAATATTGAAAAAGTCCAAGCTGCAAAATGCTTGTTTGAGAGGAATTTTGCCCCAAAATGAAATTAATTAGGGGGGATAATGTGGGCGGGCATGACAATAGCATGCTGGCATGTCATGGATTAGTTCCTCCATGGACACCGCTGGTGGCAGCAATTTTGCATTTGCGTATTAAGCAGCATCAGTTGGTGCTTGGAAAGGAGACCACTAAGAGACCCTGAGACTGTTATATTCTGGAAAACAATGTAAAAGCAATTCTGCATTTTTTGCTAACAAAACTACGTCATTGTGCCTAAGAGTCACCAGTGACTTGAGAGCATCTTTGTTTTATGGCAGCCAATGAGCGAGCACCTCCCTGGCAGCCATTTTGTGAAAGGGCCCCAAAGAATTATCAACTACCAATCCTGTTTTAGCAGGGGGTTGGACTAGAAGACCTCCAAGGTCCCTTCTAAGTCTGTTATTCTCTGTATAATTCCTTGCATTTTTTAGACAGCTTTGTTTCTTGAACCATGCATTTATTTTATTTATTGCGTTACCCATTACTTTATTCAACTTTAAAGTAGTCCTGATTTACTATGCTGAACAGATTTTTTTTGGGGGGGGGGTATCTCCAACATATAATCATTTTAAATTTAGCTTTTAACTCTACATTAGTAAACCACAGTCTTCAAAGGGGGAATTTAACATGATGCTTACTGGATTTTTTGTGGTTTTTGCAAATGTCACAAGAGCCTCTGGTTTTAAAGGATAAAACTTTAATTTTAAAATATTTATTTTAAAAACTTCAGTTATTTTAAAGGGTAAGATCTTTATTTATCTGCAAATCTCCATGGATTTCATCAACTAATAATGAGATCCATTGAAGTACAAGGTTTCTACTGCAGTCTTTAATTTTAACTTATTTCAGGGGTTGTTTGGACATATTTTACGACTAAAGAAAGGCACAGTTGTTAGATTCACACATACAAAGGTTGTTTAATTCTAAACTTTTTTTTTTTAGATTTTGGGGTGCTGGGCACAATCAGACTGTTTGATTCCCTATACTGTAAATCCAGAAAGTGAGTTAAGTTGGTAATTAAATTACTAAATTTAAAACTAAATTAAATCATACCTCCTTGTTGCCTCTCCCAAGAGACCACAAATAAATCAATTATAATTCAAACTTAGTTCATCTACAGTAAAATTTATTGGTGTCTGGATGCAACAGAATAAATTCTGGCTTGCATGCTTAAGGGTGTTTGCGTGCAATTTTGTGTTTTCTAAAGATGATCTGGGCCAATGATCTCATTTGTGTAATGACACAATTGATATTTTTACACATTACAACACTCCTGTGCCATTATGCGGAAGACGCAAAAAGCACAAAGCATGTAAATGTGACACTGAATAGAAACCAGAGGCACCTTGAATCCTGCATTGAAATGTAAATCAGACAGTTAAATGGAATTAATTTTTAAACAAACAGGATTTACAAATCTTTACAATTTTGCTTTGTGGATGTTGTTTTTAAGTTGGATTGAAAGAATACAACAAACCTGTTTTTGGACATATAGTTATCCTAACTTTTATCAAACCTCTCTTGCGGGGTCGTTTAAAAGACAAAACAGAAAAATAAGGGATAGCAAAGGATTTTTAAAGGTGATAAATGAAAAAAAGGGATAGAGAAAGAATGTTTCAAAACTTCACCTGCATCTAAGACCATGAAGAGGAAAAAGGATAGGGAAAAAAAATATCAGAATTATTAGGGCGATTGTGGAAGCACCCCTATTAGAGGGAATATGCTAAAGGACGACTTGATTGTTTAAAACAAATCAAGGTTTAAAGCCTGATGCGGACATGGACGGAGACAAAAAAAATCAAGATGGTGGCTTCGCACATTTGGTTGTGGCTGCCTTTTGTGATTTCCCTGCAGTTGTACCTGGGGGCAAGAAATGAGAACAAGTTTGGTCTCGGGATTCAGGTATCAAGGATACGGTTGTGCCTGAGGCACAAAAGCGAGCTGGGTAACTTTGAACCAATCACCAGGAGACGGTGAGTTCTAGTCCCACCTGAGGCACAAAAGCAAGCTGGGTGACTTTGAACCAATCACCAGGAGACGGTGAGTTCTAGTCCCACCTAAGGCATAAAGCGAGCTGGGTAACTTTGAACCAATCACCAGGAGATGGTGAGTCCAGTCCCACCTGAGGCACAAAAACAAGCTAGGTGACTTTGACCCAGTAACCAGGAGATGGTGAGTTCTAGTTCTGCCCAAGGTACAAAAGCCAGCTGGGTAACTTTGAACCAGTCACCAGGAGACGGTGAGTTCTAGTCCTGCCTGAGGTACAAAAACAAGCTGGGTGACTTTGACCCATTAACCAGGAGACAGTGAGTTCTAGTTCTGCCCAAGCTACGAAAGCCAGCTGGGTGACTTTGAACCAATCACCAGGAGATGATGAGTTATAGTCC